AGAATGTAGGAAGTATTTTAATAAGTTCTGAATATCAATATATGTGTTCAAGATATTATAAAAATTCAAATTTTATTCCTCTTTGCAACAAAAGTATGAAAAATCATCTTAAAAAATATTTGTAGATCCAAATTTTGTCTTCATGTCACATTGATGATTCAGTTTCATATTGTACAGGTCGATATAGTGAAAATTGAAAAATAAAACAATTTATTGCTTGTTGAATTGAATAAATGTTGAAAAAATTGACAATGATACTGATGAAATTTAATTTGAGAAAAATAAACTGAATAAACTTTCAAGAACCAGAATAAAAGTAATAAAAAGACTTAGAACTAACTCTTACTGTGGACGTTAGGTTATTATTGCTTTTCTTTGAAAAAACCAAAAACAAAAAAAAATATGCATTATAAGAAAAAGATGAAATATGATGGCATCAAGAAATTCTTTAATTGAAAAATAAATACTTTATTCATCTGTATTTTCTAGCTGTGAGTTTTTTTCTTATTCCGTCTGAAAAACGAAAGAATAAGCCGACACCTATAATCTTCATTAGCAAAAACTTATATTGCAAAAAAGTGGAGTATTCCAAACAAGTACCATTCAATTAAAAATAGATATCAAACAATAATTGGATCTCGAATATAAATATATTAGCTGTCTTCGTCTAAGTCTGAAAAAAAAACAAAAGAGAAGACCAAACATTTTTGATTATACAGTTTATTCTATCAATAGATGTTTACAATTTTTGTGTTAACGAAAACAGTTGAAGAAGATAAAGAATGCTCAAAAAATAGAAAAATATACTAAAACTATTTTTTAACTGACTGAAAAGAAACAAGAAAATGCTGCTGCGATATGTTAATTTGCCGTGTTGACAAATTTATTTGGATAAGTGGCTGTCAATGCCTTCTATTTTCTATTATATACAAATGCCGACAGGACAATTTCTTATCTATATAATATTTTCCTTCATGAGAGTAGTTTGATGTGTACTAGCTTGTTGTTAATAAATACTAGGTTCCAATGTATGAAGAAAAAGCATTACGAGTACTTCTGGTGATTTATGAAACCAAAATGTGCTTAATTAGATGAATACATAAATAGAAATTGAATATGATGCTACTATTTTTTCACAGCGAGCTGGTTCTTTCACCGTTAATTTTGCTGATTTTCTACAGCTCTTCTCTGAAAATAAAATGATTATTTTTGCAAATTTTACAAAAACTGGAAAAAAAACGTTATAATATATCTACTAGCAGAAGAAAGTGTGAAATCAAAAAAGTTTGATCTTTTGTTCGGACTTAAACAAGGACAACTAAAATATTGAAATTTAAGATACATATCAAGATCTCTAAAGGATAGGTTGTTTCTCAACTTGTTCTGCGTGGGTACACTCAAATATATTCTCTTTGTAAGTCTCTCTTGAGAGATGATTTTTTTGTTTTTCTCTTTCTCTTTCTCTTTCATTTCAGCCGCTATCATACCTTCACAATAATGATAATGACGAGACAAGACAACAAAGAAAATATACATACATATATGTTTGTATGCATGCTTGAATATTTTCTCAATTAACACTAGTGTCATATTATATTCTCAGGTGATTAGAATTTTCCTTTTTTTTCTTGCTATATCCATCATCATCCAATTTTAACATCTTGTGTGACAACTTCATTATATTATTATATTGAGACAAACGCACACACACACACACACCAAATGTCATCAACAAAAAAAATATACTTGAGTCTTATAACGAACAAAATACAAAGTCATTAGACGCAAATGAAGCATAGTCGGTCTAATACACAAAATTGATGATGTGTCAAAAAAAAAAATATTCTTTTTTCACCAATAAACCTGTTGCTGTTGTCCATGAAAATCGTTAAAATATGTTAATTTTTGAACAAGATCAAAATCAACAGAATAAAGTAGATGTTGCAATGTACAATTTGTTTCTGATGGTGATGATGCTGATGATGTTGTATAACTTGTACTTGTATTTGTATCATGTGCAAGAAGATTATCAATAAAAAATGAACTTTTTATCTGTTGTGATTTATTCGGAGATGACGATGGTGTATTGACAAGAGTTGTTTTTATCGGTTTTTTCTTATTTACTGTTTTTTCTACATTACATTTGTTTAATAATTTAAAACGTTTTCGTCGACGTAGATAACTTCCATTTTCAAACATGTCACCACATCTAAATTTAATCTTATTTTCATTAAATTATTCGAGATGAAATATTGATCAAATATTTCATTCAAATACTGATATTCATTTATTTATATACATACATATATATAAGATCAAGCCTTTTTAATTGTAGCTATTATCAATAAGCTATATATCACATCGGAAAAGATCAAACAATATTGTATTCATATATAAGTGAAAACAGGTGAAAAAAGAGATGCTATTCATCAAGTGTTTGACAAGATGTAGTTTTTTTTTCTTTTCAATTCAATGACGGCTTCTGTTATATTGAATTGTTAAAAAAAAAAACATGTCAGATTTAATTGTGTGAACATGCTTATTGTTTTTAATGATGTTTTTTAAATGATCATTTATGCTAATTTTAACACGTCAAAAACACTTACTCATTATATTCTTACTCATCTTTCATGAATCATGAATAGGTACAGTAATTTCTTGCATCAATTTATTTGATTGAGCTCATGCTGTACATATAACTTACTTGCTATGTAATGCCCAAAAATTGCCTTTACCAGGTCGATCAATTCTACGTGGAATTTTTATAAAACAATCATTGAAAGATAAATTATGTCTTAACGAATTTTGCCACTTTTGTGTATTCGTACGATAATATGGAAATCGATCAGTAATAAACTAAATGTAAAAAAAAAATATAAACAAAAAATTAAGTTTCTATTGTTTTCTTTTGTTTTACTTTATAAATATCACTGAGTGGTAACATTTTTTCTGGACTTTGTTGAATAGCCATTGCTGTTAAAGCAATATATGAATCTAAGAAAAAATATAAAATATATTGAAAGTTTTAGAAAAAGTTTTTGTTTTTTCACTTACATGGAGGTTTTTCATCTGAATAAGAAGATTTGCCGGGTCGTGGCATTGTACGATGTGTTAAAAGCAAATAGACTTATCAACACATTGAATACTAACACCTGTAAACGTAAATTTGATTGGCGGTGATAATGTAGATTTTTTTCTCACTTATTTTAACCAATCGAAACACACACACAATCTTTCATCCATCAATTTACTTGTTCGTTCTTTCTTCTTCTCTATTTCAATCAATAACACTAACACACACACATACATATATACATCTCATCAATGAGTAATTTTTATGTTAGACCCCCTCGTGAGTGTTGTAGACTTTTCACCTGTTGTGTGCTCATGTACAAGACATTTCTCTTTTTTTTTCTTATTTATATTCATATTCATTGATCCCTTGTGTATAAAAGAAAAAGCTCATTCGAACGATCAAATTAAAAAAGTCAGGAACAATGTAATAAAGAATATTTGAGCAATAAAATTGTGGTAATAACAGTAAGATGAGAAGAAATACGACTATACTCTTAACTCTTCCGGATGAATGAATGAATAAAATAAATCTTGAGAAATAATATTTTTTTTATGCCTGCTGGGATCAAAAAGATTTATGTGAGAAGAGATGATTGATAGAGAAACATAACTTGAGTAAATTGCTTGTCATTAGCAAACAAACATTGTTATTAGAAATTTTATTTTTAGATTTTCAATTATTTGTTTGAAAGAAAATAACAAAATTGTTTATGTATTCAATGTAATTTAACTAATGTTTTAGAAAGAAACTTCAGTTGTAAGAATGTGATTTTGTCGGTTACTGTAATTTATACATAAAATGATACTTCAAATAAGTCTAGCAATTAATCTGTAATGATCAAATACATTTCATAAAGTCAAATCACAAGAATTATTTTTCCGTTTTGTCGACACAGTCTTGTTTTTCTGAATAATTTCAGAATTTTATTGGAGAAATCATGCCTTGAAAGAAAAGAAATAAACTAAACAGTAATGAGGCTATCTGACATTTTTTAAAACGAAAATTACCTTCGGTAAAAATGATCAGAAAAATGCTTTCAATTAACGTTTATGGATGTGGATTTACGTACTGTGCTTCTCTACTCTCGCACATACTCAAATAGGAGAATTGGCATCATCGAATTAATGCAAATATTGTGCCCTTCAATCCAAACTAATACGTAGTGATTGATAAATTAAAAAAAGATTATGCGTTCAACACCACTATGATGAAACAACTTGACAACAATATAAACAAGCCTTTACGAAATAAAAAAACATTATTCTTCGACATCAACGAATTCTTGATTTAATGCAACGATATGAAAAAGATTATTTGTCATTAGATGAATATTTTAATAGGATTAGTAAAATAATTGGTAAACAATTACACTAATATTTTGTTGCCATGATCTTATGACCTATTGAATTATATTCTCATTTCTATTATCACAATAACCTTCTCTAATACAAAAGTTTTATTTGTTTTTCTTTTCATAAAATACTGCTGAGAAAAAAGTGTCGATGAAGCAGGAAAATAAATTAATTAGTCTTACAAGAGAGCAAACCGATCCATGATAGTATCAACTGATTTCTATTAGAAAAAAAAATGGAAACTTTTTTTCATAATCAAGAAAGAAATGCTTCAACTAGATTCATTCGATTGGCGAATGAAGTTAATCTTCTAATAATTATCGCCTTTCTGATCTCACACTAGATAGTACCAACACCCAAGTCATCTCTTTAAGTTTATTCTTCGATCATATACAAAGATTCATTGAATTATTTATGAAGATACTACTAATAACTGTCGATAAATTATAGTATATGTACTTAATTGATTGATTGTATCTATCCACATGTCAAAGAAAGAACATAACTAATTTGTTTATTTAAAAAAGATAAATAATTTAATTTATATAAACATAGAATATAATTATCCTTATCTACAATAATAATATCAATTGATGTTGAATAAGAGGTGCAAAATAAGAACCAAAATCTTCATAAAGTTTTTTTTCATTACTTTCATTTTCATTTTGAACTGAACGATAAGTTATTGTAATAAATTTCTAAATCAAACAAAGAGTTGTTGCATTTTGTTTTAAAGAGTAACAATAAGAATATCTCACAACAACAACTTCTGTCATTTTCTGTGATAATTCAATGTCTGATATTAATCGAATTTTTTCTCCTAACTGTTTAACGAGAGGAAAGACGATTTGAATAATTACCTAAATATATATATGATAAGAAGAAAACAAATTTATTTGAAGAAAAAATTTACTTTATGACTCATTTCACAAAGACCAATAAATGCTCCATATTGAGTTGACCAAATGTATTCTTCTTCATTATCTATTAAAATTCTATAGAAAACCTGTATTGCACGTTGTTGTAAGCGATTTGATGCTGTGCCATATTTTCTTAAAAATAACCATTAAAAAATCATTCTTTTTAAAATTAATTTTTTTTCTAACCGTATAATTTGCCCACAACATTTTGCTGCAAGATCACGTAATGACCAATGGTCACGTGAAAGTCTTCGTTCTAGTAAACAAGAAAGTATAGCTGGTAATAAATAATGCAACTAAGAAAAAAATCAAATTAAATATTTGTGTTAATCAAATGATATTCTTACATATGGTTCTAGAAAAAGTGTTGTATTTTGTAATAATGCATCGCTCATTTGCATTAAATAGTTCAGAATTGTTGATCGATTAAAGGGCGATGTTGGTGTTAAATTTACACGTATGCCTTCTGATATGAAAATAATAAGACGTGAAACAATTTGTTGAAGACTACTATCCGATGAAAGGATGAATAAAGTTTGCTAATAAAAGAAAAAAAAAATTGATCGTCTAATGAAGAATAAATTACTTTTCGCTTTTTTTCATTTGAACAAATGCACATTTCTGTTAATTCTTTATAATAAATTTGCTGTTCCTTAAAGACAAATAACAAATTTATTTAATGTTATGATAAAATAAATTCTTGTACTTACAACTGATAAAATATGACAAAATTTATTGAATTGTTTTTGTGAAACCGAACGAATAGTTGATCGAATAGGTCTATCTACAATAGGATTTTCATTTGTAGTTGGTTGTTTACCATTTACTGCTAACCAATGTGCTATTAAATCAGCAGATCATATAATTCTTTTTATGAAAATATTATGATAATTTACCACGAATACTTATATCGAAAGGTATTTTTAGTTGAGCAGTAATTAAATCATTAAATGATAGGATATTATTATCGATATGATATAAAATTCGATTATCCTTTTTTATTTTACGAAATAATGAACGATGAATATTCGATGTTGTATAATAACCATACATAGGCTAGAGAATATAAGTAGATATTTAGAATAAAATAAAATTTTACTTCTAAATGAGATAGTTTTAATGCAAATGCAAAATCTTCTGTTGTCATTTCTTTCCGACGACATTTTCTTACGACTTTACAAGCATCCTAGAACGAAATCATTGCTAAAAAAGGTTCTTTTTATTTGTTTAATTTTTACTTGTAAGAGATTAAAAATAAGTTGACTATTTTGCAACGTTAAATAAGCAAGAGAATCATCACATAAACACCGACCATTATTTAATTGTTCAGTAATATATTCAATTGATTCTACTGAAAATTGAATAGACATCTACAAATCATAAAACTATTTGATTACTGGTTAGATAAATTAAATGAAAACATTGTAGAATATTCTTTTTTATAGCAGATTGAAAGAAGCGATTTTTTTCCCACATCAAACAATTCAATCTAGACTTCGATCTACCCATTGTAACAAACTTAAATTATACTTTTCGATAGAAAACTTTGTTTCAAAACTATACAAGAAAATTCGAATCGACCTCATTGTTTTGAATTTTGAAAAGAAAAATGGTTTTAAAATTTGATTCTTATTGGCTTTATTTCATTGAAATGATTGAGAGCGAGGATAAAAGAAGCTTATTGATAATCGATAAAAACATATGAGAATTGAAAGTCAATATATAAAGAATTTGTTGAAGAATTTTAAAGAAAGACAAATTATCATTAACAACCTTTTTTTAATTCGATGAAAATGATCTTGTGTAGCTGACGTTAAATATTTAAACGATTGGTTAATGTTAAACACCATTACCGAAAGAGAAAAAAGACACTTATATACCGATCGTCAAAACAGCACGTGCATGCTTTATCGTATAGAAAGATAATTTCGAGTTTATTAAGATCTTCTCTAAAATCCAATTCTTCGAAAACTTTCATGTGATATGTCTGCAATATTTATGTCGAAAACATGATGATCTATTAAATCTACAATTATGTTCATTAGTAGAAGAAATATATTTAATAGCGGATTAATAGATAAAAAGTAATTTGGATTTGTTAATTGAAAAACTTAGTGTAAAATATGAACAATTGTGAACTAATGCTTATAGAACGATTGATAATATTTATGATAAAAAACAGGAAGTGAGAGAAAGGAAAAAAATCAAAATAAAATTATTTAACAGCAAGATGTGACTAATGAAATCATTATTTAATTATAACACAAACACACTGTTCATTTTATTAATAAAGAAATAAAAGAATATTCTTGTTCACATTTTGAACTTGATATTCAACTAATCATTATCAAAAAACATAGTACTTGTTTAGAAAAACTAATTGAATCAAATCTTGTAGTAGTATTAGTTTAATCGCAATCATTACTATTCTTGGCGCCAAAAGATATAATGCACTTCAAAAGGACATGTGTGACAGAAGGGAAGTGAAACTTTTCTGTATTATATGGACTAGGTATTGATAAAGCTGGTGAGTCTTGTTGCAGATTTTGATTAGAAGTTTTCGACAAAACTTCTTCAACTATAAATGAATTCTACTCCAGGAAATTGATAGGGAAGACACTTCTCTGTTGATCTACACAAGGGCAATCCTTCTATCTTATTCCATTCAGTAGTTATGAGCTTTCTACTGGAAGTCTAGAAGTCGACCAACTAAACACTAGTCACTCTAAACTGTATTAACTTTGGTGTATTTTTCTGTGCTGAGCCCAATGATGGTATAAAACGCGAATACTTAAGTTATCTTTATTATCCTCAACACAAGAGATACGAAACTGGCAATTCTTTTCAAAAGATTATTATAATGATGATTTAGATTGTCCAAATGAAAATGCATCGAATGCGCCAGAATAAATGGACCTCTCAATAGTTTAACAATAACTATTTCAGTTTTCATTCTCTGGACTTCAACTTTTCTCCAGAAGATTCATAATTTAATTCTCTACAAAACCTGTATCACAAGGCTTTCTATTGAAGGTTAAGCGAAAAGTTTTTAAGCAGAACCTTCGACACGTACAAAAGTACCAACTTTCACACCAATTTAAAAACAACAAAATTTATCATTTTCATCCAATTCTACAGACAACGAAACGGAAATACATTCTTTTTTGAGTACTTGGAAGTGTGCTATTCCTCGCCTAGTAGCTCAAAATTCGTTGAAGCCAAATTGAAGAGCAAATAAAGCTAACTTTTAAATATTTATACAAAGTGACTAAAATCGGATATTTGGCGCGAGCTGAACCGAAGAAAGAAATCAAATGTCAATTTTCATTGCTGAATCTGGTACAACATTAATTTCCCATCAGAATGAAAAATAACCAAACCCAAAATATGCTATTTTGGCTTAGTTATGCCTCTTTTCCTTTGAGCAACGCAACTGCAGATTGAAAGAGCTAAATTTTTGAAAATCTGAAAGGGAAGATATTTTGAGTATACCACAAAAATGAGCGTGAGAATTTTCCAGTTATGATCGATCGATAGAGCTTTTCAAGGGCTATAAGATACCTATATTGTTTACTTTTTGTCGTTACTAGCCAACGAGAAAACCTGAAGAAACGATTTTTGACCTTTGAAAGTTGGCACTTTTGTACTTGTCGAAGGTTCTGCTTAAAAAGTTTTCGCTTAACCTTCAATAGAAAGCCTTGTGATACAGGTTTTTTAGAGAATTAAATGGCGAATCTTCTGAGGAAAAGTTGAACTCCAGAGAATGAAAATTGAAAAAGTTATCGCTAAAATACTGAGAGGTCTATTTATCCTGGCGCACCCGATATTATTAATCATTCGAAGTCAAATATCAAGTGAAACATCTTGAATTAAGATCTATCAATACAATTGAATAAACTATTTGTAAAATTAATTTAATTGATGCTTTACGAAAGTTTATCTTCTCATATGTTGACCATTAGATCATGAAAGTGGTTGGATCGTGACTGATTTTGAATACATAACTGAGTCAACTACTTTACATTTTGATTTCGAAAAATTTTGTGAGAAACCAAATATTTGCAACCGAGAAGAGATATCTTCGACAACTGTTCATAGTTTTACATACGTAATTTTCATCAATCAACAAGTCACATTTACTTGTAACGTGACCGTTTTACTGTTTTTCGTACTGACTGTCCTTTATTACACACCTCTTATACTCTAGTGTATCTGTTGAAACTTCTATTATTCTTTTTTTTCCTCAAAGCTAGATATTCCAAATATATGTTGCATTCAAACGTTACAAAAGGAATGTCGAATACTGATGTTAATTCAGAAGACACCATATCATGGTAAAAGAATTCTTCTTTTCCTTTTATTGATGATTAATTGTTATTTAATTATACATATAGAACATAGTGATAAGATAGAAAAGAAGAAACCTAAACCAGCTGAACATCCTGGAACAAAATATCACACACGATATCATGGTTACGACAATCAGGCTTGTTCATTTTTATTAAATGCAAAAAAACAGCAAATTTATTTATTTTTTTCTATTTATTTTAGTCTCATAAAGTTCGCATACACAATTAAATTATAGGATTTTTCGTATGTATTTGTTCTAGATTTTAAAGGTAGTGTGGGTAGTGGATTAAGTGAAAGAGACGATTGAAAGTGAAGAGAATTGTAATCGATCAAAAATAATATTTTTATCTGTTTCTTTTCATTTTTAGAGCAGATCAAGGAAGTTCCTAAAATGAATAACAAAACGGACATATATATATTTTTTCATTAGTCAAGTAGTTTTTTTGCAGTTTATTTTAGTGTTGCTATTTCTTTGTTGAATTAATAAAGAAGCTAATTTTTGGAAGCAAAATTTTCAATTATAAAAAAAGATACCTGACATCTATTGTACAGTACAATCAATAATTTATTAAAATCTTAAAATCTTTATTATTAAATTGAAATATATCTACGAAGAAAAAAACATACTTATCACAATACTAAGATTACACGTATAATATATATATCACAAAAGCTATAATAAACAAAATGCTTTTCATAATCAAATTTTCTAGTCTTTTCTTTTTTATTTAAATTTTCACTCCCAAAAAGCTTGGTATTCATAGTCTCCTGATCCGATTTGAAGAGTCATTAAACCAGTATTTGAATCATGAAAAACATTACTTTTTTTATTATCTATTGACCAAATAATTTTATTATTTTCGGTTAATATCACACATTGAGCACCGGAAAATAATGGTTCAAATATAATTTGAGCTTGAGCATTTGATGGTATTGAAACTCGAAATAATATTGAATTCGGTAATGTATCACGTTCATCACGTGTATATGAAACATGAACAAGTCCATATAATGTACTTAATTGACAATCAATTTTTGTTAAAAGATGTTTTTTATTTTCTGATAACATTCGTGGTCGAATAGTAATTAAATCAGATTGAAAATCAATACCAGCTAAATGTGAATAAAACCATGCACCAATACTTCCAAACATATGATGATTTCGTGAATTCATGCCTGGACCTTCCATTGGTGCATCCCATAATTCCCACAATGTTGTAGCATTTTCATATGGATTATTAAACATATAACCAAATGATGGATATGTTACTGAAGAAACTAATTCAACTGCCAAATCATGTTGACCATTATCAGATAAAAGTGGAAAAAGTGCAGCAGTAGAAACAATTCCTGTTGATACATGTTTTCCTTCATCATTAATCTCCTGAATTAAATGTCTAAAGACTGTGTCATGCACACTGGCTGGTACAACATTAGGTAAAGCTAATGCAAGTATTTGTGCTGCTTGCATACCATCAGCATAATAACCAGCTGAAGGTGTGAAAAATACCCGATGAAATTCTTCAGCTAATTTTCCATAAAATATTGTATATGATTGTGTGTCATTTGTATAACCGAGAATTTGTGACATATTTATTAATAATGAAACATCATGCAAAAATCCATATGACGCAATAAGATATACATTTGTCATTGGTTGTGGTGGTGGTGGTACCCAATCACCATAATGATAAGCAAGTTTAGCTAAACCTGTTTTATTGTAACCAGCACAAACAGATTCAACATAAGCACGAACATTTGAATAATGATCTCGAAGAATTTGTATATCATTATAATGACGATATAATTGCCATGTTATTGTTGGTAATGCAGTACCCCAATTTGGATCAGCAGGATAACCACCGAATGTTACTGGTACAGTATCAGATATTGAACCATCAGGTAATTGAATATCAGCAATCAAATTAAGAAAATTTAAATAAAATTTTGCTAAATCAAAATTGTATAAAGCTTCATTTACGGATAATGCAGCATCACCCATCCATCCTTTTCGCTCATCACGTTGTGGACTAATCCAAATAAAAAAAAAAACATTTATTACTGTATAAATAAGATTAATTATTTTCATACCAGTCAGTTGGCAATGACATTGAATTACTTAATTGACCCCATTGAACATTATGTTGAATTTGATTAATTATTTGATTAGTTGATACAAAATGTCCTTTAACTGTTGTTTCACTATGTACAACAGGACATTCAACATCATTAACTGTTAAAGGAATTGGTGAACCAAAAACTGATATGTAACGAAAACCATGAACAGTAAAACTACAATCAACAAATATTAATAAAAACAAAACAAAACGATAAAATTTTCGTATAAATCTACCGTGGTTCATAAATTTCACCATTTGGATCACCACGTAATATATAACTATCAGACTGTGTAGCACCACGAAGATTTTCTATATTGATTCCACCATATGCTTGACTAAAAATAATCAATTCTATGTTTATTTAAATTATATTTTTAAGATCATACTGAGTTGATACAACTGGTTGTGCTAATACTTCAGCATGACGAATATAAATACCAAGACCACGTGAACCATGAAAATGAAAACGACACCAACCAACCATATTTTGTCCCATATCAAATATATGAACACCTAAAACTGGTGTTGATACACTAATAGGTTTCAATATTCCACCATCATGTAATTGTGCTCCTATAATAACACCTAAGTCTTCTTTTAATAAATAACTATTCTCTAATTCTGATGGATTATTAATTTCAAAATGTAATGCATCAGGACCAGCACGTATTGGTGGCATATCTTGTAAAGTTATTTGACCATTAGCAGTTATATTAACTGGTGATGGCATTATTTCAGGTGTAAGCCATAGTGACAATGTATCATTAAATCCAACTTGAGCCCAATTAGGACGATCATATCGATTATCAACTATTTCTCCATTATAAACACTATCATGTAAAATTGATCCTTGTCGACCTTTCCATGTTTGATCACTATAGACTACCATATCGTTAGCATTTTCAAAAACAATATGTAAAAAAAATAGAAGACGAGGAGGACCTAAAAGAAATTTAAAATATTCCTTCATTTATGAAATTTTATTCTCTACCATAATTTGGTTCACTGACAGAAGGTAGTACATATTGTTCTTGACTATACCAACCATTACCTAATTTAACACCTATAGCATTCATACCTGTCTAAATAAACAGAAAAAAGAATGTTAGAATAAATATTAAGAATTTATTCGAACCTTAATAGTCGGTTTAAGATCATATGAAACAAATAAAGTACGTTTTTCATATGTTGTCCAACCTGGATCTAATTTTCGACTAACATCAACACTTTGTCCATTGACATATAATTCATAATAGCCGATACCGGATATAAAAGCAGTTGCTGTTCGAATAGGACTATCACTAGATACATTAAATTCTTTTCTTAATTCATTCATATAAATTTGTGTTGAACCAATCCAATAAACTTCATTATTACGTTGCATAATATATTCATGCAAATTAAATATTGATGTTCGAAATCTTATCCAATTTGTCCATGAACTTGCTTGATCAGATAATGTTGTCCATATACGAAGTCGAATTTGATAATGTCTTGATGGTTTAAGATCATTTTTATTTACACATGGAACATGAATTGATTGACTTGAATGTATTTGTCCACTATCCCATTCATCTGTATCTGATTGAATTTGAAGTTGATATGCTGTTTGTTGAACATGACGTTCTGTAGAAATTGGTAATTTCCAAGACAAGCGTGGCCGAGGTGTATTGATTACTAAGTCTTTTGTTGTTTCAACTTTATAATAGTCAATACGAACATCAAATGGTGGAGGTAATCGATGAGCAGTAACGATTGCCACATAATATATCGCAGTTAAATAAATCCAAAACATACTGTAACACGAGAGATACACCGTCTTTTTAAACTTTATCTAGGTATTTTATATAGTTAAACGTCTACCTTATCAAAACTTTTAATCAGTTTGTTTGCTTGCACTAGCCAAAAAAAGCACAGAAAAAAAACTAAGGTCAACTCATATCTTTGCTTCAGTAAGCACACCTATTAAAACAAATAATTCTTTTTAGAGAGAATAAACTATGATGATAAATTAAAAATAAAACTCAGAATGAATTGAAACTTTCGAATTTTATTACAAAAGTATTTTTATTTATTTGTCTTAAATATGAATTTATATTATTTCTATGCTTTGTTTTGTTTTTTATCCGGTTTTTTACAATAAAAAAGTTAGTTCCCATTAGTTAACATGAACCAATCGGATTAGTCTTGATTTTACCCTATAAAATTGAATCCATCATATTCGAAAAAGAAAAAAAAACGTATTCTGTCGAAATGCCCACAACATCTTCACGTTCACTTTTAGGTAAATTAAAAAAAACTGTATAATTTAATAAAATTTTCTTGGATATTTATTTTAGATGCTCTGAAAGAATTTTTTCGAAGTGATTATTGTCAGGATGATATTCTTAAACTTTTTCCAAAAGATAAATCGGAAATACCAAATGTTCTTACATTAACACTAAAGTAAAAATTATTAGTTTTCGAATCAATCTATTCATTGGAATGTTTAGTTATTGTAAATTATTGGAATATGATTTTGAATTGGGTCGACTTCTTTGGGATTTAGGTCCACGCGCTCGATATTTTTTTGATAAGCTTACAGAAGCATTTAAACTTGTAGCTTTGGAATTATCAGATTATTCATTAGTAAAACAATTTTATTTAAATAAAAAAGAAATAAATTGAATTCAAATGTTATTTTTAGCCTGACGATGTAAAAACCAAAATAAAAATAGTTAAATTTGGAAGTAATCGATCAGATCTTGTTCGTTATGAAATTCCAAAGTAAATTGATTTTTTTCGTTTATAAATCTTATTTCTCTATAATAAAGTTGTCAAGATCGTGGTCATTTTATTTGTTTTCATGGTACAGTTATTCGTGTTGGTACACCGTATGTTTTTGATGCAACACGATCATATCAATGTAGGCATTTACTTTTTTGTTTTAATAAAGTTTGTATTTTATTTTTTAAATATCTTGCAAATAGGTGAAGAATGTGGTTCAATAATAACAGTAACAAAATCGAGTAATATGGAAAAAATTAAATTAAAACCAACACGATGTTCAAATGAAGATTGTTCATCAATTAAATTTAAATCATTAAAAGAAAGTACGTATTGAATTTTTATAAGAATCTATTAGCATTATGGAGTTGCCGATATATGTTTTTGTGGACCCGAATTCAAACTCGACTTTTTTTCTCATCAATATTCGTCACTTTCTGTGCATATGAACACATAAAGAATCAAGGTTTTTACTATTTATTGGTTACTCTCAGAAAAAAAAGTAAACTTACAGTTATTTCTTGTGGTCAACTTTCACATAACTCGATGCTTAATAAATTAAAAGTTTTCAGTTAATTGAAAAGTTCGTTATATTTAAACAAAACAGAAATTGAACAGATAATTAATAAACGAAAAACGTCAAGTCAACAATTATATCAAGATCTTCTGTTTTATGAAAGTCTTAGTTGTATTTATGGAAATGAGACCAAGCAAGAATATGATCATTGCAATCAATGTGAAGGTTGACTTATTTAATAAATCATATACGAAAAACTGAATCAACTATTCTAGATCGAACTCAGCAGGAAATTGAAATTACTTGTACAGAATTTATGATACTTGACTATCAATCATTCGAAACAATTCATGATATCGATTTTAAAAATCTTGCACACAAAATTTATAATGTTAATTGATACTTACCTATAGAGAGCTACGGGTCCATATTTTTGTGGACCAGACCCGAACCCATAGCTCCTTAACTAATATTGAACAACGGGTATCAATTAGAGCCCATTGGATCGAACATTTTCGAACCCAACCCCAGTCGAATCGTACTTTAATAATCTCAATGAAATTTTCTAATTGGAACAGGATGACCGCCTTGAAACTACGAGACACTTTTTTTTCTGTTTTCAGTGATTAGTACGCCCTATACATTTTTTTCAAACGACTAGCATCTACACGGTTCGAGACTGACCTGATGAGCTTTGGTGTTAATGAATTTAAAACGCGTGCTATGAATTTTTCTTTTCGAATAATTTAGCGGAAGATAAAACAATAAATTTATCCGATTATCGTGAAATAAAAGTTCAAGAATCATTACAACGTGTTACATCAAATAATTTACCACGTTCATTTAGTGTTATTCTTGAAGATGATCTTGTTGAAGCATGCAAACCAGGAGATGATGTTGCCATTTAGTAAGTTAATAACTTATTTTTTTTTATTAATAATTTTCGAGAATGATTAAAGAAAAATCATTCTATTTAAAGGATGCATCTGAAAATCTTAAAGGTCAGTAGTCATTGTGGTCTGATGCTTGATTAACTCCTGAGCAATTCACTTTGTTTCAATAATTAAATAAATATATTTTTTCTCTAGTGGCTTTGTTCAAGATCGTTGGCATCCAGTACAAGTTGGTGGTCGTGGTCAAACATCTCTATGTTTAGAAGCCAATAATGTTGTCGTGCTTAATGATCAAACTGCTAGTGTTTCACCACATGCTGTGTGTTTGAAAAATATCATCTTAATACAAAGAAAACAAATAAATCTGTTTTTTATTTAAGTATGATGAATTTGAACAATATTGGCATGATAATCATCGAACTCCAATTTCCGCTCGAAATCGTATATTAGCTAGTATATGTCCACAACTTTATGGACTTTATGTTGTTAAATTAGCGATTGCACTTATATTAGCTGGTGGTGTAACTGTAAGTTGAAAACATTGTGTTTAATTTTTTTTTTCTAAAGAAAGATAAACTAGATTTCGGATGAAAAACGTGGTATTCGTGTTCGTAGTCAACCTCATTTATTATTAGTTGGCGATCCAGGTATAATATATTTGAAATTTTATTTGAATAGGAGATTGTTTTACTTTCATTTAGGTACTGGAAAATCATTTTTTCTTAAATATGTTGCAAAAATGATGCCACGAGCTGTGTTAACAACAGGAGTTGGTTCAACAAGTGCTGGTCTAACAGCAACAGCTGTTCGGGTAAGTTAATTAAAATCAAAAAACGAATAAAAAAATAAACATTTTATTTAGGATGGACCAGGATGGACATTAGAAGCTGGTGCTTTAGTTTTAGCTGATGAAGGTATTTGTTGTATTGATGAATTTAATACAATGAAAAATCAAGATAAAGCTTGTATACTTGAAGCAATGGAACAACAAACAATAAGTTTAGCTAAAGTAGGTTAAAATTATATTGAATTTTTCAAATGACATCAAAATCTAGGGAGGAATGTTAAGAACATTACAAACACGTTGTTCAATCATAGCATCAGCAAATCCAAAAGGTGTTTATGATAATGAAGATCCATTAACAATAAATACTGCACTTTCATCACCATTACTTAGTCGATTTGATTTAATTTTACTTACACTTGATACACAAAATCAAGAATGGGATAATATTGCGGCAACATATATTACCGAAGGAATTGATTTACTTGGTTTGTTTTTGTTGTTGTTTTGTAATAAAACATTCACAAGTTTTCTATAGGTCATGGTACTTTGAAAAAACCATGGCCAATAACAAAAATGCGTGATTATTTTATGACAATTAAATCTACTGAACCTGAAATGACACCAGAAGCTGAAACAATTATTAAAACGTAGGTGAAAAGAGAAAACTAAAGACATTTATTAATTTGATTTTCTTAATTTATCCAGATATTATTCAATGTCTCGTCGAATAACTGAAAATACTGATCGACATATTACAGTTCGTCAATTAGAAAGTACTGTTCGTTTAGCACAAGGTAGAAGAAAAAGCAATTTGTTTTTGTATATACTTTATTTACATTGCAAAATTATTTAGCTCATGCGAAATTAACTTTTTCGAAACAGGTTAATATTCTTGATGCAATTATTGCTGTTCTATTAATGGAAGCAAGTCTTAATGGTTGTGGAAAATTATTAGATAAAATTAATGCTCTTCATACAACATTTGCAGAACAACCCGAACAAGAATATGAAGGACATGGTAAAAAGAATTTTATTTTTAAAAACTATGCCAACACAGACATTACGTGAAAAAATGAAAATCAGCCTTTTATCGTTTCAAATAGTGATAAATGTACTTTGAAACATGCTCTATCTAACGGTAGAAAATTTTTTCTTATGAATTTTAAGTAGAGTGAAACAGACGGAATTAAAAAATTAGTATGAAAACAATGGTATCGATCATCAAAGAAATTTTTGAGAAAGAAAGACTAGACCTAGGAAGGCATCTTGATGAGACTAACAAAAGCCTAAAAGGATTCGTTCCATTGGCCATTAAAGCAGAGTGAGGATCATTTTACTGAATTGTCGATTTAAAATTCTGCTTATAGACAAGTTGAATAACTCCTAAGAGATGTTGAAAGTTTCAACCGAAAAGAATGATCTTTTGTGAAGATATTGAGTTTACTTGAAAATTCAATATGTCGATAATAGAATATTTGTTTCGGTTGAAATTGATAGGATATTCTAAGATTCATTCGACCAATCTATTTTACTAGTCTCATCAAGGCATCCTTGTAGGTAGACCTAATATGAGCTCAAACAGCGGGTATCAATTCTAGTGGTTTCCTCGTGAACAAAAAAGAAAAAGCGAAAAATGCATACTATTACTAGATAATTCTCATAAAGTCATATTCTTACTTTGTATCTCTCTCAATAATGTTCGACTACTACGGTTAAATAAGTTGTACATTATACTGTGTGAACGTCTCTATATCGTCGGTCATTAGAAGTATTCTAGAACGATCTATAATAACTATGCGTTAGACATAGCTCATCCTACAGAGAATCATTATGACATGCACTAATTCTTATAGCTACTTTGAAATTAATTCATAAGCATAGAAACTTTTATCTTTAAATGACATTTTGACTTCTTATTCCTTAGATCGAATCGTTCACTTTTTTTTTTTAGTGTGTTAGTTATATAAAAGACATATGGCTTACCAAAATATCATCTCCAACTAGTCTTCTATGTCACTCAGATATTTCTAGCTCTAATTTTATTTTGAAATAACAATATGACACTTTTTTTTTATTTTTCATTTCAGTTCATCTTGTTCTCAATTGGCTCAATCTTCCGGAATTACGTGATCTTGAATTAGAACGTATTAAGCATAAATATGATCAATCAACTCCATGGACTGAAAATGATGAATATGAAAAACGAACAATGCCTCGTGAATTTAAAAAACCACTGCCACCACCACAACCTTCAACAGCTAATACAGTCACTCTCTTGTCAACACAAATTGCACATAAAGAAAAACGAGAAGAAGTAAAATTACATCAACGTACTGAACAATATTCGACGCCACTCTCAACTAAGCCACCTGTATTTAATAATAAACTAAGTCCAATTGATAAAATTGGACCAGCAACGCGTATGAACAGTCAAATACTTGTTCCAATACAAGAAAATGATTCTTTTGACGATCAGTCATCACAAGTCAAACGTCGTAAAATTGATGACCATACATCTGAATTTAATGCAATAAAAGAAGATAGTAAAGAAGAAGTGTATTTGAGCACGATTGATGATATTCAAGAAGACGATTTCAATTTTTGATTGATTGTACAGATATATACATTATTCTTTTTTTATTCTATGAAATTGAAATGAAAATAAACTAAAAAAACTAAGATATTGATGAAAACACTTTCGTTTTTTTTTTAGATAAAAATGCCGTTTTTTATTCGTAAACATAATTCTGAAACAAAAGATAAAAAAAGAAAGGTACTTTTTCTGTTTTGTCTAAAGTTTTTATTTCTCTTATTTTATATTAGAAATTACTTAAATCTCAAAGTGGAAAGAAAAAACAAAAAACCTCTACTGATTTAATCAATGGTCATAATAATAAAAAAAAAACTAAAAAACAAAAAGAAATAATTGATGAAAATGAAGAAATATTAAGTGATACTGATGTTGACGAAGATGATGAACAAAATCAACAAACAGTCAATGGCAATGTTCGATTAGATAATTTATTATTAAATGAAGAACATGATGATGATGATGAAAACAATGTTCATGAACAACGACTTAAAAGAGCTAAAGAATATATCGAACAGATAGCAAAACAAGGTTAGAATTTTATTGAATTCAACAGATAAAAAACTTATGTTTCATTATCGTCTTTAGTTCTTTTTGTCTTAAATTCGGATTGAGGAATAGTTTGTTTAATCAGTTTTTCTGAAATGAATTTTTATTATTTGACTCCTATTACTTGAGTGTTGGCTACAGAACACTATAGACTCATCATAATCGATAGGAAATTTTCAATTTATAAATCAATAACCCATTTATTTTACAGTAGTGAATAAATGTTTCTCAACTCCTGTGTCTCGGTTACTATACATGCTTGAGGTCTGAAAATTTGTGTATACATACTGCACTAAGAATTTAGTTCAAAAGCACCAGGTGACCCCGGTTACTAAAACACAATGATATTTATGGTAAAGACCGCATGTCTTTGCTTCAAGCTTCTAGTGTAAACCGCTTATTTACTAATTTTTTTGTTAGCTTTTATCAAGTAGATAGCTACTTCTTGATATTTTAGTATGCGAGTAGATTCCTAGTGTATACTAAGTTTTTAGTGAAAAGATAAAGTAATTTCGTCGAAGATTGCTGTCTCTGAGTCCTCTGTGCCTACGCAATGATTATTTGGATGGGATTTTCATTTATTGAAAGATTCTTTCATAAAACTTTAGCTACCGACAAAGCTTATGTATAAATTTCTGTTCGATTCATTGTACTATCACTTCGTTATGGTCTTCAAGATTAGCAGATAGTTTGTACTCATCCGAACGGTTATTGAAAAATGACTCGAATTCTAGCAAAAGTTGATGAACTTCGATGAAATTAATACCGTAGATAACTGAAACAAACCATTAAATAATGAAGAATGGTCTGATCCACGATGTTCATTTTCAGAGGTATGAAATTAAATGGATAAATAGGTGCAACCCATCATACTTCTCGTTCCATTTATTCGATCGAGAAAAGCTCGTGTCTCAGACTTACATTCTTATCGAAGTATATGAACACAAATTTTTCAACCTATAGCATGTATCGTAGTCGACATATGAAGAATGGGAGACCTTGGTCTACTATTGCGTAATTATATGAATAAGAACGATTAATGAAATTGCTATACTTTGTTTAAGTAAATATTTAAACAAGATAAATATAAGAAATACATTACAATGATAGAAAAATAATCAAGAAAAGACAAATGACATAGATGCATTAAATGAGTTCCTATTAGTAGCTGTCGTCTTTTAAAATAGAGTTAATTCTAGTGGATCATCACCTCTATATGGCTTGAGGTGTAAGCTGATTGGCTGAGTCATCGATGCCACAACACAAAAATAGATATTTGATTTTAAAAATTTTCCGATATCCTAAATCAGTTTTGGAGATGTTACGGTCAGGTTTCTTGTCAATAAGTTCTCTACCATCGTTTTCTTTTTTTCATTTCAATATTTTTCGAAATAGAAAAGAGCAAAAAATCATCAAAATTTCAATCTGAGTTTGAAATCACAGAACTATAGTTAACATTATTATTTTTTGTTTTAGAACAAGAACGAGAAGATGATCGTGATGTTGTTTCTGAACGTCTTCGTGATGATGTGGTATGTTGATATATTATTATTTCATAATTTTGTCTAATTATTTATATTTAGCTTGAACAAGCTGGAAAACTTCATCGTCAAGTAGCTTCAAGTGTAAGATAAAGATTTTCAAAAAATTTATTCTTAGTATTTTGTCTTAATTTTAGTATTCCGAACCCGTCCTTTTTCATACTTGTCGTGGTCATCAACAAAGTGTTACTTGCGTTTGTATTTCTAATGATAATAAATATGCATTCACTGGATCCAAAGATTGTAGTATTATTAAATGTAAGTTTAAACAAAATTTTAGAAGATGAAACTAAAGAAAATATTTTCCGTAGGGTGTTTATTAACGGGAAAAAAACTTCATTTAATACGTCGAACAGCTAAAACTGATGATACGAATGAACGAACACCGATTGTTGGACATTTTGATCATATTCTTGCTATTACTATCTCAACAAATGGACAATTTTTGGTAAATTAATTTTTTCATTTGCAATAAATTATATAAAAATATCATATTGGTTTTTCATTTTAGGTTTCTGGAGATAAAGCAAATTTAATTCAAGTGTGGAATGCACAAACATGTCAACATTTAAAAACTCTTCGTGGTCATCAAGGACCAATTACTGTATGTTGTTATTTTTATTAAGGACGATGATGAGAAAATATGATTATGTATATTTAGGGTCTTACTTTTCGCCGAAATTCTCATCAATTATTTAGTGTTTCTCAAGATCGATCCGTTAAAATTTGGAATTTAGATGAAATGAGTTATGTTGAAACATTGTAAGTTTAAAATAAACGGAACTTTTTCTAGAAGATATATGCAATCTAATAATAGATTTGGTCATCAAGAACCAATCCAAGCAATTGATGCATTAATGCGTGAACGTTGTGTAACAGCCGGTGGTCGTGATGGTTCATTAAGATTATGGAAAATTGTTGAAGAATCACATCTTGTGTTTACCGGACATAAGTATATAATAAATTAGTTGTTTTTTAATGAGTTTATATTAATATTGTTTGGTTTTTAAGAGGTTCAATTGATTGTGTAGCATTGATTAACGATGAACATATGGTTTCAGGAGCAGATGATGGGTAAGTCATTCAAGAGTAGAGAATTTAATATAGTTGTAATTGTAAAAGACTAAACTGTTTGATTAAATTTATTGATTTAATGAGTTAAAACAGTATTCAAGGTCATAAATAAAATGAAATGTAGATAAAAGACATGATTTCGACCCGTATTCATCCAATTTTTTTGTCCGAATATTATCAATTACAATGTTTCATAGCTATATTTAATATAGAAGTGAATAACAAGAAAAATGAAAAGAAATTAAGTTCTTTGTTTTTACTTCTTAACAAATTTCGTTTTTACAATTTCGCTGCATTCAATTTCTATTTGTAATTCTTGATAATTTAGTACAAGTGCATTATGAACTGTAGTTGTAAATTCTATGTCATGTATTGTTCGCGTTTCGTATTCAATATGTGTGTCTTAACTGTGAAAGCCGATGGTGGTTTCTTTTTGATAATGAGAAAAAAGAGACTCCTAAAATAGAGATTCTGAACACTCAGTTTGATTATATTAGAGTCAAAACAGAGATAAAATTGTTTTTATTATAGAGATACAGAATGTAGCTTGGAAGGGACATTCAGTATTAACGACATGAATGTGTCATTTTTCTTAATTTAGGTGAGAATTTTTGTTTTCTCACAATTAATTCTTTATTTATTTACTACCCTATGAATTTAGCCGAATGTCATGAAATCTATCTTATGGAGAACAAAAAGTTCATCTCATAATTTCGCTAATGATCTCAGCTCACTGGCGTAGTGTTCAGAATTAGATTGACATCGGTGGTTCCGTTACAGGCGAAATAAAATTTTCAAATATTCTGAAATTTCCGACGATTTAGGGAGCATGTGACCGTTCTCTGCCATTATTTATTGACTGATAGAACATTTCATATCATTATGACCGAATCTTCCCTACCAGACACATTTTCGTAATGATGTTGCAGTGAGTCGCTAGGTCACTTAAAAAAAATCACCGAACGGTTTCATCAAAGAGTTTTATGTTGCACTAAACGATATAACTCAAAAATTATGACTAATCAAGTGATGAAAATTTCGAAAGACTATGAAGTTCGAAGATGAATATATGGATACTAATATAAATAGAATCGTATAAAATCTAAGAATTGTTTCGTGTTTAAATAAATGTAATCAAAAGAACGGAGAAAATGAATTCCCCACTTTTTGTTTCAAGTTCGTTTTGCTTGTTTCGTTCTTAATTCAACGGTGATTATATGATTGTAAAATTGTATTTGGCATTTGAGCTTCGAAAAAATTTTCTTTCTATCAGAAAGCATTTCTAATTATTTTAAATTTTGTTGTATTGTTTTGAGGAAAAAGACGAGCCAAAAACAAATTTCGATAGGAAAGTTGATGAATAATAGTGCGTTGGATTTCATTATATGATACAAGAAAAAAGAATAAATTATTTCGATCGCTACTATAGGTACGGCTGTGATACATGTGACTCATTCAAAATCTATGCAAAATACCTGAATACGACTTATCGCTAAATGCGTTAAAAACACTTTAGATTATATGTACGAAGAACTTTGTGTGCATCGCTCGAAATATGATTGAGAGTCAATGTTTTCATCTCAAAAGAATGTTTTATATCTTGAGAAGGAAACATTTGTTTGAGCGGAAATTTTTATGCCATTTTACTGTCAATTCGACCTGTCTGTGACCAAACTCTCAGGTCAAAATACTGCCATTCGATTTACTGATATATACCAAACTAGAGGCTAAATTTTTATTAAAATGCTTATAGCTCTGAAGAGAAAGTCTAAGGGAACTTATTCTTTTGAGATTTTTCATAGTTCACTGCAATTTACCTTATGCACAGAGTCCGAACTCAAACGTGGTTAATCAGTTGAAAACGTGCCTTTGCCGGTTTTGAAGTGTTATACACCTTGTAATCTCGCTTGACATTTTGCTTATAAACTATAAGTTTATACCTTAAGAGAGTTATAAATTAGATAAAATAAAAAATATTGTATGACAATCAAATTTTCAAGTCTTGTTTCACAGTTTTTATCAACAAGGAATAATACAATTTCCTTATCTTTTGTGAGAAGTTTATTTCGCATTTACCGGATTTAATTTAACACCGCCTCGATCATTTCTAAATGGATTATTTTTAATCTCGCGTGAAAGAAAGTCAAAGAATGACTACACATCTGATATATATAAAAAAAGTGTAATAAAACGCGCGATGAAAAATTGAATCCGTCTCATATTCGAAAGACATTGTGTATTTACTATCAATTCGCGAATACCTGAAGATCAAATGACAAGAAAACAAATCGGTTAAACGACTATTTTTATCAATAGATGGAAGTAAAAATAAGTACCTCGAACATTGTTCGTCTAATATTTCGAGGTTTGTTTGAGATCAAATCGTGATTTTTGTGTGTTAATGAAGACATTTTCAAGGAATCTAATCTAAAAGTCTCGTGAAGATTTATTGAAAAGAACTTGATATATTAAACTTAAGTAAAATATTTTTTTTTCAGATCAATTGCTCTTTGGTCTGTATCAAAACGTCGTCCTCTATTCAATTTACCACATGCTCATAAAATAACATCAATCGATCCATCTTTAATACCATCATCATTACCTGAAGATTTTTGGATAACATCATTAGCTTCACTTCGTTATACTGATTTACTTTCATCAGGTTCATTTAATGGAAATATTCATTTATGGAAATCAACGCCCCAATTTAATCATTTAACACATCTTTTTACAATAGCACAAGTGAGATTTTCTTTTTTTTTTATATATTTCACATATTATTATTTATTAATTGATTAGCTTGGTTTTGTTAATGATCTTAAATTTTCATCTGATGGTAATTATTTAGTTGCTGCTATTGGTCAAGAACATCGACTTGGACGATGGTGGACAGTTAAATCAGCTAAAAATGTTCTACTCATTTATAAACTCGACAAAAATAAATAGTCGATATATTTGTCTTTTTGTTGTTTTTTTTTCGTGTCGCTTTTTTTTATTATGTTATTTTGTGCCATGATGACACAAAACATCAATTGGTTAAATTAAAAAGCAAAAAGAAAACTAAAGCATCTAAGAAGCAAAAAAAAGTAAAAGAAAAATGTTTTGTTCTTATAAATGATTACAAATAATGTCTCGACCGATACCACGTAAAACAAGTGCACGAAATTCATCATAATTTATCTTTCCATCAAAATTTTGATCAATTTTTCGTACATAATTTTTTAGAGCCTCACTATCTATTGTATCATTTAATATGGGTAAAAAGGAGCCTAATTCATTAATGTGTATTGAACCAGAATGATCTCGATCTAATATATAGAATGCACGTTGAAGTTCATCACTTGAATAAAAACCCATTATAAATGGACGTAAAACATCAACGAATGCTTCAAATGGTAATGGATTTGGAAGACGACGTGAAAGATTTTGATATTGTGCACGTGTTATTGTTGCATCATATGTACGATTTCGTCTTTCTTTATTTTGTCGTGTTATACTTGATGATGAACTTGATGATGTATCAACCACAACTGTTTCTTCAAATTGATAATCTATTTGAACAACTTGACCATTATTATTACGATGAATATTTTCGGTTACTGTATATTCAAGATCCATATTTTGATACCTATTTCTCTAGTAAGGAAACAGAAATGAAGTTTTTTACAAAATGAATACTTTGTACAGTAATGAAAAAAATGTATACTTATGTCCTATTGGTACTTTTATAATAGCTATTACTATTTACTTTTGCCTACCGTTTGAATAGGTTGCCTCAGAAAAAAATTATGATACCGAGTTTCTTTACTTAATTGTGGTTTATACGTCTGCGGTTCGTTCTATTTATGATTCCTCTCATAAATCATACTTACAGATGCAAAGCACAATAACAAACACTTCACTATTTCTCCCTCATTTTATATGATTTAGTCTTTATAACACTTGTTAAAGAAAAAAAGAATCAAACAGTCCACTTGATCGATTCTTTATAAAGAGCAAGCATTTGCTTGTTTGGCTTTTACGTTTCTTGTATAAAGACGTGTTGTATTTAATCAATATTTGCTCATTATGAATAGTACCTATCAGATGGTTTCTTTCTTAGCAAGAAACCTCTTTATTTTCTTTCAGCTCGTTTTCGTTTTATTTTTCTTTAGATAAATACTGATTATTGATAAAGTAAAAAATCAGCTCTTGACAGGTAATTGAATCTTATTCCTATTTGCTTTTTTCATATATGTTCCAGTAAATAACAATAAAAAGTCGAATGCTATTTGATCATGTTAAATTTAAAAGAAGACAATGATCTAATACAAGAGAAACAATAGAAAAAAGATAAGAAAAACAAATGACGAACAAATGAAAAAATCACATGGTTAGAACGAAGGTGTGTGCGCTTCTATTGACATTAGATAAGCGTTAACACATCTTACGAGGCGCATATTGTTTTATTGTAACTGAAAGAATGCATGCTGATTGGGAAGACTTAAAAGTAGAGACAAATTTGTACTCTTTAAAAAAGCATTTACACATCATTTTTCTTGTAGTATTTAAATGGTTTCGGTAACCATTTTGAGTCCGAAGATCCACGTTGTCCAGATTCATTACCAAAAAATCAAGTAAAATCATCCGAAAAAAAAACCATTTTCTATCGTTCTTTTCTATTTAAAGAATACGCCTCAAAGTTGTCCATATGGCCTTTATGCTGAACAATTATCTGGTACAGCATTTACAGCACCAAGAGAAGCTAATCAACGAACGTAAATAATTCAATTTATTAATTAAAAAAGAAAACAAAAGTTTTTTTTTTTAGTTGGTTTTATCGAATTTTACCAGCTGTACTGCATGAACCATTTAGTCCGATTAAATCTGGTTTATTAACAAATCGATGGGATCTAGCAGAACCTAATCCAAATCAAATGCGTTGGAAACCATTTCATATTCCATCAGTTGAAGATGAAAAGAAAGATTTTCTTGATGTAAATAGAAAAATGAAAATTATAACTCAGAGTATAAAATCTTATGTGAATAGAGTTTAGCAACAGTATGTGGTGCTGGTGATCCATGTTCTCGTCATGGTGCTTCAATTTCCATTTATGCTTGTAATTGTTCAATGGATAATCGAGCTTTTTGTAATGCTGATGGAGATATGCTTATTGGTAAGTTATTCGTTTCGTTTTTGTATAGTTTTTTATAACTTTAAAAAAAAAATAGTTCCACAGCATGGATCATTACGTATAACAACAGAACTTGGTCGAATGTTGGTTAAACCACAAGAAATTTGTGTCATTCAAGTATTCGACTGATCATTTTATGATTAGAAATGAAACGATTTTATTTTTAGCAAGGAATTCGATTTTCAGTGGCTATTGATGAACCATCACGTGGTTATGTGCTTGAAGTATTTGATAATCATTTTTGCTTACCAAGTTTGGGACCAATTGGTAAAATTTGGAGTCGATACAGTGGTTTTATTTATTTATTTCTATTCTATAGGAGCAAATGGTTTAGCAAATCCACGCGATTTTGAAATACCAACTGGTAATGGCAACAAAAAATTCCCTTTTGATGCTTTTTTTTAATAAATTGTTTTCTTGGTATTTTTAAAGCTTGGTATGAAGATCGAGAATGTGATTTTACTGTTGTCCATAAATATCAAGGAAGTTTATTTCAATCAAAACAAGTAAATTGATTTAAATATTATTTCTAAATACAATTTTCTCTTCAAAGAAACATTCATGTTTTGATGTTGTTGCTTGGCATGGTAATTATACACCATATAAATATGATTTGCGAAAATTTGTTGTGATTAATTCTGTATCAGTTGACCATCTGGTAAGTTTTCTTATTTTTGTTTTGTGAATTTCAAGAGAATTTTCGTTTATAGGATCCATCAATATTTACTGTTTTAACATGTCCTTCATTAAAACCTGGCACAGCTATTGCTGATTTTGTTATATTTCCACCTCGATGGTCTGTTCAGGAACATACATTTCGACCACCGTATTATCATCGTATGTAGAAATGAAATTCAAAAAAAAAATTCCTAATATTTTTACATTAAAGGTAATTGTATGAGTGAATTTATGGGTCTTATAACCGGAAAATATGAAGCAAAAGACGGTTTTCAAGCTGGTGGTGCAACACTTCATAGTTGTATGACACCACATGGTCCAGATTCTGATTGCTGTGAAAAAGCTTTGCAAGATGAACTTAAGCCAATGCGTATAGCTGAAGATTCATTAGCATTCATGTTCGAATCATCTTTAAGTTTTGCATTAACAAAATGGAGTATGACTACATCTGCAGGTGTTGATCCTGATTATTTTAAATGTTGGTCTTCATTAAAAAAACATTTTACTGGATTAAAATGAACTTAAAACGATTCTTTTTTCTTATAAACAACTTTAATTGATTACTAGAAAAACAAAAATAAATTTATTAATTATGGGCTTGAGGATGGTGATGTAACATCGGTTATTTTTCGAAGAGCTTCATGACATAAATCATCTAATTCACCATCGCCACCAAATTGAAGATTACAAATATCACATTCGAATACTTTTAAATCATAGACATGGACTTCACATACATTACGAATTGGAATAGGATGAGTACTGACTGAATAGCCGAGATTAGTTAAAAAAGCTAAAAGTAAAAGTCAATGATAAATACTTTTTAAATCAAAATAATAACTTACTTTCAAGACCCTTTATACGATCAGTCTTGTGTTCAACACCGGAAAATGTTTTATATGGTCCATATTTTCTATCAAAAACCAAAACAATTATTTATTTTAATTATACATAGAGAAATAACATACATTAAAACACGTGTTTGAGCCATTATTGAACAGAATTACCTGTCAGTTAAATGTCATAAGTTATAGTGATATAATAATGGTTGCTAGGAAACAAAAAGATATTTCTTGACACAAATTGATATAAAAATGAGAAAATATTTTCATTTATGATGTTGCAAAGATTAGTAATGACTGTTTCTTAATCCAAGAAAAAAAATAATTTTTTAATAACTTACTGTTGTTTTATCAAATATCGCCATCTATGGCAAAGTTCTATTTATTTCATTTAATAGAATTGAACTTGAGAGGAGCTCAAATACTGGAATCATTTTTCACTATCAATCTGTTTTAGTTTGAAGATTCGTGTTAACACATACACATTTTTAATGACAATATGCTCAAAATCACTATATAAATTAATTACAATATAGCTCTGTATGTATAGAAATTCTAGCTAGATAATATCTTATTGCAATTTGCTCTATGTACGTATATTAAAATTATTGACTAAAACTTAAAGCCTGGAAAATATTATTATATATTATAATCAAATATTATTTGCACAAGGTACTGATATTTTTCGATATCGTCTGTGTGAACCAGCAAGTGAAGACGAAGATATAACATTGTTTGCTTCTTATTTAGTTATCTATTTATGTTATCTCTAATAGCAGCAAGCTGGCGAAAAGAATAAAATAAAAGATGGCACTTTCAAGTACTTTCGTCGAATCAAGGCTTGCCATAGATGATGATAAAGATGATAATAGAACTTATTTGAATGTTGCCTTGAGAGTTTCTTTTAAAATATTCTATTTATAGAAATTCTACAAGGGTTACGAATATGCTTATTTTAACTGCAACATTCTAGGGTTAGAGTTTACCTATCATTCCTATAATCTAGGTCAATCAGATTCTATTAACCTTTTTTTGAAAATGATTCTACTTAACCTGCATTTTTTTCAACAAACAGCATCATGGTTCTTTTGATTGTGTAAAGAAAGTGAAATAGAATAATCTCTCAAAAGAGAGAACAGAATCTATGATTGACCTATGTCACAGAACTTATAGAAATTACAGGTGGAATATGACCTCAGGTAACAATTTTGTTTACGACTTGTCGTATTTCTTTATATCATATTTTATATTATTCATCGCATCTCTGAATTCTATGATTAATTGTGAAATATTGACAGTCATCAATGAAACGACCATCTATATCAGACAAATATTTTATTTTGATAATTCTAGGTATTAAAAAGATTATGAACCTATGCAACTGTTGTAATGGGAAACATTTGAAGTCAAGTTTTTTTTATTAAACTAATTAAACCGAGCTTCTTTACTTCTTTTTATTAAAAACTGGTGTTTTTGATTAAATTTGCTTCGATAAACAGTATATTTTAAATAACACTCGTATATGATTGCTAATTTCTATCATATATTAAAATAAAATGTTCACTATTAATATGTCAAGATTTAATGAAAATAGGTTCATTAAATAATGTTCAAACGGAAAATGATCAAAATTTTCAAGTTTTAATTAAATGTCGAGAAGAATCATGCGCAAAATATAATTATGATGGTAAAGTTGTTAAATGTCGAAAGCAAAATGTCGAAAGCAAAAATGTCGAAAGCAAAAATGTCGAAAGTAAAACGTCGAAAGTGAAAATGTCGAAAATAGAAAACCCTTGTAAATCCTAGATCCAAGATTTTNTGGGCCTTCTCCCTTCATCAGTAAATTAATCATAACTCTTCCTAAACGTTTTAGAGAATAGACTTATTATATACCATTCGATGCGCCTTGAAATTTTCTACAATTTGGTATATTTGCTTTCTCAATGCTGGATAGATCATCTTATCCGATTAGATCTTTTTTGCAAGTGACCGCGAACTTTCTGCTCAACATAATATTGTTCGTTTTTGCAAACTACCATCTTCTTGTAATGACTATTGAATGACGATTGATTGATCTCGCTTAACAAACATTGAGATTTTTATTATCAATTTGTACTTGATTAACTAAGATGAATAAATAAATATTGAGGATTGAACTACGAAAGATTCAGCGCCAATGAACACGAACTACGAAAGGGAGACCACTTCTTCTGTATCGAACATTGCACTACATGTATTAACAATTGACGATGACCTCTAACCTTATATCATGTAAACGAGTTACTTGTACTAAAAATATCAATTAACATTATCATCAATAGATATAATCAATGAAAATACAAAGACTTAACAAGTACGTCGTTGTGTGCGATGTAATTTATCCAGTATCGATATAATCACTTCGAAGTAAACGATAGGCACAAACATTGACAATTGATATCAGTTATAACTCAGAAGTGACTTCTGAAGAATAAAATTATTTTTGATTCACAATTAAATAGCATTCTTCCAGAATGGGGACAGCGAGTCCGTAGGATGAGCGTTACTTTTATAGGCATCGATGAACAGATATTTCATCATAAAAAAAAATATATATAACAGGAAAAAGAAGAACTGTATTGCAATTCTTTTTTTCTTCTTTTGTTATTTTTTTTTCTAAAGAACAGAAAAAATAACTTGTCTATATAAACCACATCTGTATAATTACATAAAATACGCATATAGTTTAGGTAACTGCATAGATAGATTTATTGTGAAAAATATACCCTTTTTTTTTATAGATTTTCTTTTATTAATTACCATGCCTTATCGTTCAAAAATTTTACAACATAAATGTACAAAACAAGAACAAGAATTACACATAATTTCAAATCCACTCGACAGTGCTCGAAAATATTCACTTGCAAGTGATAATTATCTAGCTCCATTAACTGCATGTAAACTTAAACCAAATTCAAAATGGATTATAGTACGAAATAATATACATAAAATTCGTAGTTGGCGTGCTGTTGATAAATCAAATATTGATAAAAAACTTTGGGATTGGTATATATTCTTTCAAATTAGACGTGAATTACGACATATACAGGCAGATATCAAACAAATTGAACAGCGACCAGATTTTGTTCCTGTTCATCATATTGAGATACCTGGGGGCCCAACACATACTGAATGTGTTAAGGTGTCACATGTACGACCAACGGATGTACTATATTATCCAAGTTTTGATCCTGAACCTATGAGTGTACAAGCATTAATTTATTATTTTTCGAAAGAACGCATCGTAACATATGAAAGTGTATTTCATCCACTTTTATCTAATGTTTGTTCAATTACAAATCGAGATCGAGAACGTCTTCGTCGAGTAGCTGTTTTTCGTAAATTAGCATTAGTTTTAGGAATAGTTGTTTTTTTAATTGTTGGTCTTATGTTAGCGTCATTGATTCTTAGTGTATTAGAAACAACATCAAATTTAAAAAATATGTATAGCAATGACCCTGATGGAGGAATTGAATGGCGTGCACCTTCAACAACTATAGAGATAACTAAATTTAATTTTTAATTTTGTTTTAGGGACTAAAATGTTTTAAAATATATCGACATTAACTTAGAAATACTATGTATAAAACGTATCGACGATGCAATACTTTTAGGCGAATATTAGAAATGGCTTCATAGACGATATGAATCAATACTTTTGATTAAAAATAACATATGGACTATATAAGAATGTTATATTAGTAGGAAATAGAAGGAAAAAACCGGCAAACTAATTTGAAATGATGAATCATTTTAGTGTAGGTGAAATATATAATATTTCAAAATTTGAGATATTGATTTTTTCTTGCGTTGTATCGTTATGATCAAGAAACTGTTAAATCGATATTTTGATTCCTATTTCATTACATTCGAAAAGAACATATTGTGTACACATATTTATTGATAATGGTGCAAAATGCTATAATTTGAATTGATCTGATAATAAGTTTACAGAATTAATATTGTGCGTTCATATTATTAAACAATTTCAATTAGTCAAATTAATTAGAGATATTGATTTTCGAGTACAATCGAATTTCGATGTATCTTTTTCAAAAAAAAACAAAAAGAAGATAAATTTTGCTGTGTAATTTCCTTTTCTGAAAGAAAGGGTTATATGGCGATAGATACCAGGGGAAATAGCTAAAATAAGTTTGTCTGTCGTCCAATCAAAAACGACTTTTTTAATGTTAGGGTTTTTTGATATTCTGATGACACTTTGCTGTAGATTGTCGAAAGTCAGGAGTGCAAATTTGAGGTCAAGTTTTCGAGCTTACTGTACTTGATAAAAGAGAAAATGGAAGAGGCAATTACTTATCATCTGTGATTGTGGGTGTCGGTGTGGGTGTGGGTGTGGGTGTGAGAGTGGGTGTGGGTGTGGGTGTGGATGTGAGAGTGGGTGTGGGTGTTATGTGTAAGTGACGCACACCCACACTGACGCCCACACTCCCACACACATCCACACTCCCACACCCATACATCCACATCCACGCCCATACACACACTCACACACCCATATCCACACCTACTACACTCCACACCCACCACACCCATTATCTAAAAGTATTGCAAGTAGACATAATCGATCTTTTACACGTTCTCTGCTCTGTCAGCTGAACAAATCATTTCTGTAAGTTACTCTCATAAAAGTTATTGTAAATTTATAATATATTTAGCAGAAAAAGTTCTAAAAATCTTGTTGAGCACTATGTAGAGTAATCAAAAAAATACCAAAGTGTGCAAGAGTAATAGTTTGTTTCTGTTTGACTAGGATACTTCAGTCTCAATATGAATACTCCAAACGAATTAAAAATAATCCATTCGGGAGATGGAAGTAAGACATTTACAGTTTTCTAAGAACCTTTCAAAACTTTTATGTTAATGGTCTGTAACTGAAAGTAATTTGACAATGCAATTTTCAGTTTGCGGGTGTGCATGTATGCAATGACCATCTTAAAAAAACATTCAAAGTCACACCCACACCAAAAACTTTTCTATAAACCCTATGTGGTTTCCTTTGTAACTTCATCACATTTTCTCTATACATTGAGCTATCATCTTAAAATATAGGAAATCTCTAGATTATCGGAGTACTATCTTTTATTGTGGATGGATGTTCACATTGAGTGAAAAAAAGATTCATTCACGACAATAATTTATTTAATACTCTATGATTGACAGTATATTCACCAACAGACTAAATACCGTGAGATACATAGCTCAAAGATATAGTTTTCTAGTTGATTATATGATTTATCAAATACTTCTTCTGTGCTCAAGTGCTCCTTATTAATCAACAATTTTTTCGTTCGGAATAATATCGAATGAATCAAATGAAGTTTTTTAGAATTAACAAGAAAAATCCAGATTGACACTAAAGCAAAGCATATTCCCTAGACTGAAAGGATAGGGTCTAGAAACCGTAATTCACTTGTGTCTGTTTGTCCGTCTGTCCGTCTGTCTGTCTGTCTGTCTGTCTGTCTGTAACAAGCGCTTGGTACAAATGACCATTTTTATGGCAAAAATGACCATTTCCGTGGCAAAAATGACCATTTCCGTGGCAAGGGTGTGGGTGTGGGTGGGGTGTGGGTGTCGGTGTGGGTGTCGGTGTGGATGTGGGTGTGGGCGTGGGTGTGGGTGTGAGTGTGGGTGTGGGGTGTGGGTGCTTGTTTCCCTTTAACTACACAGACCTATCCAACACCACACCCACACCCACACACCCACCCACACCCACACCCCACACCCACACCCCACACCCACACGCACACCCCCACGCACACCCACACCCACACCCACACCCACCCGCCCACCCCCCCCCACCCCCCCCCCCGCACCCANTAATGACGTTTTGTGTCATTACTTGCCACTTTTTAAAAAAAAATCAAAAACGCAGTTCGATAGAGTAAATTTTTCTCCATAAGATAGGGTAAAATTTATTTCCTGCCCCTCTCAAAAATGTCAAGCACCAATCCATGAGCATTTGCTATTGATTCACATTTTTCTTTATGTTTTTTCGGGTGAGAGTCCGTACCATAAGTTGTTCTTCGTGTAGCAATTTCACTCTTTGCTATTTCTAATGATTCACCTATGTTATCGTTTAGTAGAATGATAAAGAGCATGCATTTATTACACTCCTTTACTTTCTTATTATTTTAAATTCTTGTATACAATAAAATTATTTTCTAATCAATCAGTAATTTTGTCTCAAATTAACCTACACTTGAATAATACCTGCAAAGAAAAAAGAGAAAATCAAATTAATCATAAAAACCAACAATTTTGTTACGTAACGATGTCAATATGAAAAAAAGAGGTTATCTAATCATACACTCTGTACTCTCTTCAATAGCTACTCCTATTTCATAAAATTTTGTTTCTTACGAATAAGTGATTAATCTATCATGTTTTTCCAATTTCAATATTGAAACACATTGATTTGATTGTTTCTCCTGATTCTTCTTCTCGTTTTTTTTTCTTCTATTAGTTTTCGCTTTTTTTCTATCCTTGTATTTTTCTTTTGCATGACGTTCGTGTGTTTAGCGTTCTGTTACATAATGAGGTAACAGAGGAGAAAGAGTCGGGTTCATAGAGTGTATGGCTGTAGGACAACAGCTTTTTTTCTATTTCTAGACCATTAAATTAATCGAAGTTTTTTCGAAATATTTCGTCAACGTCTTTATTATTAATTGATACAACTCAAAAATGAGCAATACTAATGATGCTCATAAAAAAAGTACAAGTGTTCTAGAAAAACTTGGACAAAAAATCTCAAATATTAAAGAAGATATTGCTGATAATATCGAACGTCGTAAGCATTCTCATAGTAATCTTAATACTAATCAAATGCATTTTACAACACGAACCAATACGACAGATGACTCATTAGTCATTGAAAAGAAACCTCCAATACCATCTGAAAGTCAATCGAGTAAGAAATATGGTAAGAACAGAAAAAAAACCTCTTCATATTTAATAAGAGAACGAAAGAAAATATAGCACTGTATTCTTTCACATCTACAAACTTACTTGAATTCTATAATAAGAAATGGAAAATGACGATGATAATATCAAACGTATGTTTTGTTGTATAAGCTTTTTTTATTCATATACTAAATGATACAATAGGTTTTTTTTCGATCATTTGAAAGAAAGTGTTTTTTTCTCTTGTTTTGGTATAAATAGGCGATGATAATTCAAATACAGAACATACATATTCAATATCACGATTGGCAATGAGTTTTGGGAAAAAGCAAACAAATGATACATTAATTGCTGCAACAGCTGGCATGGTTCATAATGATTCATTTCGTTCATCACAAGATATATTTTCAACAGTTAATTCTGAACAAGCGAAAGATATGATAATGAGTGATGTACGCCATGAACTTTATCGAAGTCAAAGTCGAGCACCAAGTGAATGTGCTTTAGAAGACAATGTTGTATATAAAATAGACTCTAATGATACGACAACAAAACCTACAGCTGTACGTGTTGATCAAAATGTACGAAAGTCAACAATGTTATTAGCTGGACCGAAATTTCGTTATCATACTGTTGAACCTGAAACACAATTAATGCGAGATACAATATATCCAGTTTCGGTAAAACATTTTTCTCTCGTAGAGTTTTGACTAATAATTTTTTTTCTGTATTTATATTAGAGTGTTGTTGGATTTTTTACATTATTCATAACATTATGGAAACCAATCTCATCATTTTTTAGTGGATTTTTGGTTGGTTTTATGATAATGATAGCTATTGCTTATATTATAATACGAATGTATACATCTGCTAAAGCTGATGAAAGTGTTGTTCATGAATGGATTGATTTTCCTGAATTAGAAAAATATCATACAGACAAAATACCTAAAGAAGATAAACACACAACTTTACATGTATGATAGTTTTATTTCATTCACATAAAGAAAAACAAAAACAAGAAATATTTTTAGACATGTGGAGAAATTATTTTTGGTCGATATGATGCTGATCGTGATGATGATTATGTTCGTTATCCAGTTGTCATTTGTCTTGATAATTATCATTTTACTATTCAATTACCAACAAAAGCTAAAGAAGAAGAAAATAAAGATAAAGAAATCAGATTTGTTGGACATCGAGAATATTTTATCAAAGGTAAAGAATAAAAATAAAAATTTTATTTGATGAAACACAATCTAAAGAGCATGTTGAAGTATAGAGGTAAAAATTTGGATCCTTCCCACAGTAGTGATGTGTGCAGGGTAACCTTTTCTCATATTCTTATCCTTCATATGTCTATCTCACAGACCATATATCTATAGTATCTCGTTATAATAAACGAACTACTTCCTTATTGGATTGTCGAAGAACTAAGTAAACGGATGCTGAAGAAATGTGTCTCTAAAATAGATAGATTAAAATGATTTTTCTACGATTATCAAGAACAGCTACATCGTGTTTTATATTTAAATCTCGCATAAATCTCGCTAGCATTCTTTTTATTAGAGATTTGAAAACTTAGAAAATTTTTTCTTCATCATACATTTAAATTTTGAGAATTCAGTTGGAGAAAAATAATGATATCTATAAAGGTACAACTAGATTCGTACTTTTTGAGATTTTATATACATTAACCCTTTGAGTACAAATTATTCGATTGTCACAAGAGATGAAGACCTTTTCTTTGTATTAAAATGTAACTGTTTCCGTTGTGTCTACCATATGAAATTCAAGTGTTAACTTTCAATAGCGATCGAGAATTATATTCGAACTTTGAGATTCTCTTCCAAAATAATTTATGACTCAATTAAGAAGCACTATTTTCACTTCAAAATTGTACCTGATACCCTACAATGTCTTTCAATTATTTACACAATACGTGAAGGTTAATAAGTATAGGATTCCAAAAATTCATTGAAAATATGAACACTCAGTAATGAAACACACATAGGGAGATAAGGAAAAAAACTAAGGATCGTGCATTCTAACATATTTCCTGTGGTTAATTTTGGTCATAATCATATAAAAATATAATAATCAAAATATAAGAGATAATATTCATAAGTCAAATATTGTCAAAAAGACTTGACATTCATCCAAACTCTAAGTCATTTAATTTATTTGGTATCTTTTCTACTTTCCATATACTTGCAAATAAAATAAATAGCATATTTGGTAAAACTACATCTCGATATTTTTCATGTGTTCGTCAATTATTTAAAAACTAAGAAAATTAAAAGAAAAAAGCTTACTGAATTCTGTACGCTGATCTTCGAACGGTTGATTCTCAGTAAATCGTTGTCAAATATTTTTAGTCTCTAGTTCTATGCACAGATTTTACAAATATACCCTTTGCAAGAAATAATTCTATTGAAAATAAATGTATATATTTCAAACGATAAAATCGTTTAAATGTTTTTTATTTTCTTCAGAAGGCAATTTAATGCTTGTTCCTGAAGCAACAATGGCTCGTATAAAATATTGGGTTAATGAATATCCAATTATAATACAAGATTTAAAAATATTAAACAAACAAATCTATAGTCAAGAATATTTAGAAAAATCAAAATTTGATACCGATGATTTTTTTAATAATTCTCAAACAATAATAAGTCTTTTTCTTGAAACTGGACCTGAAAAAGAAAATTGGTTTCATAAGTAAATTATTTATTTTATTTATTATTGTTGCATTTAAACTTTCATTTTAAAAAAAAATTAGATTATCACTGGTAATGCGCAAAGGAAAAGAAGAAATTGAACGAGCTAATCTTGCATTGATGGGTGCACCGTCTGCACCTCCAATTAATTCAACAGTTACTTCTCCAGCAATAAATATGATTGCACAAAGTATTCCTGATACGCAAATTCCTGTATTAGGTGCACGTGCAGCTGAAATGCAAGCAAATACAGTTAATCTCGAAGAACGTTTTCAAATGAAACCAGCTGAAACAATTGGTCCACCTTATCCAGATACAACACCAACAGAAAAAGGCGATACAGAAGTACTTCGTAGTCAAATAAATGAAGCTGATATTCTTAGTGATATGGCACAAGCTCGTCTTACTGCACAAGAATTACGAAATGAAACATTAGAAAAAGAAAAAGAAAAGGATAAAGATAAAAAACTAAATGATAAAGATTCAGATAAAGATGCAGTAAGTTCACATCATACAGCATCACTAAAAAAGAAACTTCGTAAACAAGAAGAAAATCTTGAACGTTTACTTGATTCACCTGGTTGTCTTGATGAAGCAGCAATAACATTAAATTTTCTTGCACGTCGACTTTTTTGTGATGTTTTTGAAGAACCATTATTTAAAGATTTAATGAAAGAAAAAATTGAACTTAAATTAAAAGAAATTGCTGTATGTAAAACCAATTTTTTATTAAAAGAAACAGAATAGAATGTATTTATTTATTAGGTGAGTGTACTTGAAGATCTTCATGTTGAAAAAATTGATTTAGGAAAAACATTTCCTGTTATACTTAAAGTTGAACCAATGCAATGCAATGCCAAAGGAATTTGGATTAATCTATTTCTTTTTTATCGAGGCAGTTTGAAGTAAGTTTAGATCTTACAAAGATATCTTGATGAATCTTTTTTGACTTACGTCTATTCCATATAATCCACTTTGTCATTCATGTCACGCATGCATAGTGACGTATGAGTTCATAGTACCCTGCGAAGTCTCGTTGTGCACATTAAAGTCTATTTTGATATTTATAATTTGATACTACTGAAAATGAAAATACATAGATCTAGATCAACCAGGAGATTTCGAAAGCTTTTATTTATCGTTTTCGACCGAAATGATAAACCGAATAGGCTTAACCATTCTATAAAGAGTGAAGTTAGTGGTATCCTTTCTTCGTTTTTGATCATTTCTGGTTCTCGAAGAGGATACAACGGATCCGCATGAAATTTGGACCACAGACATTTGGAAGTACTCTTCAGACGTAAAGTTGAACCATTTTCGTTTTTGACCTTCTCGTCTGGATTTATAGAGCCCTGAATGCCAGTACTTCGGTTTTGAATCCGAATGTTTACGTATTTCTCTCATAAAAAAACAAGAAAGCCAGATTTCTGAAAATACTTGAAATTACCTCTTAGGTGCAGTCTAAGGTACCTCCAAAAAAATTCAGCTCGATCAGACAAAGTTAAACAGAGATTTTAAGGGGATTCGATGTAGTACCATGAAAAACCAGGGTTTTATCAAAAAAAAACTACGAAAAACTTGTTTGAAATCGTTTTCCACAAACACATATCTCCTAAATTTAGATGTTCTATTTGTGATAAAAATCTCATGTGGATCGATTAAACTATCTGCTCACACCAATTTTGGTTCAAAAAAGAGAATTCTTAAATGTTGAAGTTTCAATCTGGAAATTTTCTGATAGTCGTTTCTATTAAGGTAGTTCTATTTTTCTTGACAAGAAAATATTTTGTACTCTCGGAGATCAGCGGATTGCATAAAACCTACAAAAGTTTTAGATCTATAATATAGCAAAGAAATAAAAGAAACAGAAATGTTTCAATTTGAATGATAATGATGTCTTAACGACTATTCGAAATGAAATATTTGATGTTTAAAGTTTCGGATCTTAACTTCACTCTGAATTCATAGACGATTTTCTTAGTCTCATTGGATTGTCTCCGTGATTTATTACACTGAGGATTTCCTTTTGACTTGCATATTTTTCGTAATCTTGATTAATGAGAATGACTAATAAAATAAATAGGTGAAGTTCATTGAAAAAAAAACTACATTTACTTTTTTTTAGGATTACAATCAAAACTCGTCTAGTTCTTCAACCATTACTCAATTATAATCCTGATTCTGATCAACCGATGTATGCTCAACATCATTCAGCTCAAACCGTTCATAAAGAAGACAAAAAGTTTGACGATGATGATCTTCTTCAAAGACAAAAATTACTAGCTAAAGAACCAGAAATACCTGAAAAGTTTGTTAAAATTATTTTTTATTATAAATGTATATAACTATATATTATAATTTAGTGCTGCATCACGGAAATTAGGTACTCTATTAACAAAAGTTGCTGCAAACAAACATTTTCAACGATTTGCGGCTTTAAAACCAGTTGTTGGTGTTATTGAAAAATTATCTAATGCTGAAATTGGTGCAAATGTTGAATTAACTAGTTTTAGTGGTATTATGACTGTAAGTTTATAAATATCTTTTGATTCTTTTTTGTTTCATCTAATTCAATATTGAATTTTTCATTCTTGAATATTTAGATTAATATTCCACCACCACCAAGTGATCGTTTATGGTAATAAAAAACAGTTCTTGTTTTTTGTCCTATAGTTTTGTCAAAAAGAAATTTTTTCTCTATATAGGATTGGTTTTCCAGAAATGCCTGATCTTAGTCTTAAAGTAACACCTGTAGTTGGCGAAAACAAATATTCATATTCGTTAATTCATGATTTTCTCGAAGCACGTATTCGTGATGAACTTAAAGTAAGTTGTACAAAGGGAGAAAATTGCAGGTTTACAACTTTCAACACCTTTTAGTACTGTAATGCTCATATATATTTTGAATTTGAGTGGAAATTATGGTGATAGCTATGAGTGAAATTAAGACAAAGATATTTTTTGAGAATAAGAATCTTCTATAAAACTTGACTAAATGCTTCTAGGGTCGAAGAACTCAAATCTCTATTTGATTTTTTCGGTCAGTGCAAGCTTATGTTTCTGTGGTTTACTCACGTTTTATAATAGTCTGCTATTTATTTGGAATAGACTTTCCTTGACCAGAAAAATCGAACTTAAGAGTTTCGAAAAAACAAATTAGAGATTCGGATTCTTCAATCTCGGAAACTTTTAGTCAAGCTTTATTTTATAAAAAATTGTGAATAAGATACCTTCGATCCTGTCGAGATCATCAGGACTTGTGTCACATGTTATATTATCACAACTTATGTATTTTAAAAATTTATCGAAGAATTATTAAGTAACGATCACTTCAATAGTTGCTGTTACGATTTTGATAATAATATTAATCTGTTTTTTTCGTTAACAACAGAGTTATCGAATAGATAAACATTCAATATAGACAAAGTATTAGTAAATTTTAAAAAAATAATGAACTTCTAAGAGGAAGGACATAAGAGATCATGCAAGATATCTCGAGTAAATTGACACTATTAGAAAATTATATCAATTTTCGCTAGTATATGTATTACTAAGCGAGAAATCGGAACCAATTTTTTGTTCTGATCGAAATCGAAATGAAAACAATTAGTTCTGCTCATCATTAACTCTTATTCATATCTATCATTTCAATTTCAAGTGTAATTTCAAATATGTCTGAGTATCACAACACCTTCAGTGCTTCTCAGCACATTGCCAGTACCTTCTAGTAAAATTTCGTGCTCAGACACTTCACTTATCCATTTGAAGGTTTCAATATAAAAATATTTGATTTTTGAAATGTTTTCTTTAGCGTCTTGTTGTCCTTCCATCCATGGATGATCAATTATTACCATTCTTTCGTGATTGGGTTATTGATGTTATGTATGTAAAAATAAAAAAAAAACGATTTTTTTAAAATTATATTTTAATTTTTCTATTTTAGTGGTGAAATAGCATCAAAACCAGGAAATCCATTAGTTGATAGCTATAAAAGTGAAACATCATTTCGAGATAAACTTCAAGAATATAAAGATATTAAAGAATTGAATCGTGCTGGTTCAACATTATCTGAACGAACGAAATCAAATCCAAGATTATCAGTACAAATGGATACAATAAAAGCTTAGTCAATGATTTTAAAGAAGAGTTTAAAAAAGAAACGATTGAATTTTAAAAAATAACATTTGTTTACGTATACATATCCGAGCGCACATATGCTTTTTTTCTTTTTCTTCATTTGTTTAATCATGCTCTTGTCATTCCTTTTTCTTGTTTTGTGTACATTTATTTTATAAACTTACCTGTATGTATAATACTGTTAGCGAATGAATGATGTATTTTGATAGAGAAAACAAGGTCAAAGATTTGAAAATATACACAGCAAATTATGCATAAAAGTAATAGATAAATTTTTTTATTCAATGATATGCAAGTAATTATACACCCTAACTATTATTTTCTTCAAAATATACAAATGACGAAAATAAATTTTGTAAAATGATTATCGACACATTAATGCGTATTGTGTGTTGATTAAAGATTTGTTCTTGAAATGAATAGTGTGTTAATGAAGGTCGACGTTCTTCGATAAACAAAAACAATGTCTATTTTTGAAATAGGTGATTCTTTCTTTTATTATTAGCTATTCATTCGAGAAATACTTAGGGCATAATCACGTGTTTATATTGGTTGTCACATGCAAAATATGAAGGTAATTATAGATGAGTGATCACCTTATTCAAAAAAACAACTTCACTTGTAAATGAAAAAATTCGGAGTTTTATTCACTTGTCTTCGTCAAAACAAAGTTGCAATTTCATAGTAATCATTGACATCAATAAATAAGATAAAATGAATTTTTATAATCAAAAATGTACTGGAATTTCGGGCAAGTTCATCAATTTTATGTTTCATCGATAGAAAAACTAGCATTTCAATCCTCTTTAGGAATAAAATTTGTGTGATATCTTCACCTTGTCTCAAAATCAGTTATATTATATGACACATACGAATTTTTTTAAAGAAAACCATCTTGTCTACAATTAAGAAGTACTGCTATGATGCTCAACGTTTTAATCTCATTGAGACTGTACTTGAAGATTTTTTTTTAGTGAAAAGACTAGCAGAAGAACATTTAGTCATTTTTCATTGAAATCGATCATGAAAACATTATATATGAAATATAATGGTCTCTTCTTCCGTGACCATTATTAAAAAGTATATTGCCATGAGAAGAAAGAAACGACTTAATACTTCTATCGTCAATGTCAAATGCACAATCAAATGACCCGTTATGAACAGTAAGAAAAGAAAAGTTGAATGTTTTTTTTCTCTTTTCATAGAACATAGCAAAAATTAACTGTTGTAGAAAAACTCGTCATTAAACAAATTAGAATAGTCATCATGATGAAACTTATAAACAAATAACGATTACAATCATTTCATTCTTGTGAAATTCTGTTGAAAAAAGGATCTGATTACATTAAACTTGTAAATTCAAGTCACGCAACAGAATATACAAAGTACGCGCTTAAATACAACTAGTTTTTTTTTTATCAAAGCACGAATGTATATTTGCTTCTTTTTTTCCTTCCCGTGTCTTTATAATTGACTTTTCAAGCAAATGAATAATCGTTTTGCTTTATTTTTTGTCCCATTCATGTTTTTTTTCGACATATTACATATTATTTTCTGTGATAGTTATTGGTTAAAAGTATACGACATAATGAATACTGTACGCATTAATATATAATATTAGGTGAATGGTAAAAAACACCGTTTCTGGTTGCACTATCTAAAAAACAAACAAAAATCAAAGTGGCAATCATGCATAAAACAATACAACAGACAGATATAAATATAGATTTGTATTTGCTATATCTTTATACTAATATGATTGCTTATTAAATATCTTTTTATATAGACATAGGTGAACAAATATTTCTTCATAAGAAAATATATATAACAGCTCAGCAAAAAAAAAAGAAGAGTTGTATGGCAATTCTTTCTTTCTTCTTCTTATTTTTATAAAGAACAGAAAGAAAAAAAAAAACTTGCTTATATAAACCACATCTACATGATCATATAAAATAAGTATATAGTTGAGTCAATTCCATATATACATTGATTTTTAAATATATAATTTTGTTTTAGATTTTTCTTTAATTAAAATGGCTTATCGTTCAAAAATTTTACCACCTAGAATCACTAAACAAGAACAAGAATTACATATATTCACAAATCCACTTGAAAATGCTCGATTATATTTACTTGCGCATAGTGATTATCAAGCTCCATTAACTGCACAATCACTTGCAAAAAATTCAAAATGGATTGTAGTACGAAATAATATACATAAAATTCGTAGTTGGCGTGCAGTTGATATATCGAATGTTGATGAAAGATTACGTGATTGGTATATATTCTTTCAAATAAGACGTGAATTACGACGTGCATATAAAGATATCAAACAAATTGAACTTCGATCTGATTTTAAAGCTGTTAATCATTTTGATTTACCTGTTGATCCAAGACATAGTCAACGTTTTGATGTAAGACATGTCCGACCAACGGATATGCTCTACTATCCAAGTCTTGATCGTGAGCCTCTCGTTTTACAATCATTACTTTATTATTTTTCGAAAGAATGTGCTGTGCCATATGAAAGTGTATTTCGAACATTTTTATCTAATGTTTGTTTAATTATACATCGAGATCAACAACGTCTTCGTCGAGAAGCTGTTTTTCGTAAAGTAGCATTAGTTTTAACAATAATTGCTTTCGTTATTCTCGGTCTTATGTTAATTTCATTGGTTGTTAGTGTATTGGGAACCACATCAAATTTAAAAAGCATGTACAGTAATGATCCTGATGGAGGCATTGAATGGAGGGAACCTAAAACAATTTTAGAGACAGGTTTTGGGACAACTTCAAATTATAGGTAGTTTCGCATTTGTGACTAAATCTTTTGAAATATATCAAAAAGAACTTAAAAATAATATATATAAAACCTAACGGAGGTAAAATATCCATAAACCAATATTGAAAACGAATCCATAGACGAAACGAATCAACACTTATAATGAAAGTATATATATATATATATATAAGGATTGTATTGAAATATTATGCTATTAGAAAATAAAATAAAAGGCCAATGAAAGAATTCAAACGATAAATAATCTATCAATAATAAATTTATTAAAATATTATATGAATAATATAAATATAGATAAAATATATGATATTTCAAAATTTGAGATGTTGACAATTCTCTTGCATTGTATCTTCATGAATAAGAAACTGTTAAATCAAAATATTGACTTTTATTTCTTTGCATTGAAGAAGAAAGTATAATCTACATATGCATATAGACAATGACGTAAATTTCTATTCTTTTGATTCATCTGATTATAATTTCACGTAATTTATGCTGTATATCCATTCTGTTACATAACATGGATTAGTAACTTGATCAAAGAGATTGGTTCTTGAGTTGAATTAAATTTCACTGCATCCTTTTCAAAAAAAAAATAATCTTTCGTACGTAGTTTATTATTCTATGTATGGATCTCAAATTTTATTTTTAAAAAAATGTGTGAGTATTATTTTTTAATTTTCTATTTTACAAATAAGAGTTATTTTTTTTTATAAGCATTTGTTGTATCAAAATCAGTTATCGTGAAATTCATGTAATGATTCTATTTTTTTAAATAAAGAATGTAAAAGTAAATCTTATGGACTTCATCATAATGATATCTGATATTATTAAATTTCTTTTTATAGCAAAACATTCGAATAGAATTTTATAAAACAATTATAAAAAAATTTAATCAATATAAAAGCTATAAAATATATTTTTTAAAAACTTTTATTAATATAAAACTCACAGGCAGTCTAAAAAGTGTCTGGAAACTAATTAGCTCTTTCCTGACATTTTTTCTTTTTGTATAATATGAGTGCATATATTAAAATTTCTCATTAGACAGAGAACAAACATATACTCCCGTCAGCATTTGATAGTCTTCAATTTTTATTCTATTTCATATGGGAACCAAGGCTTGGATCGTTCATGATGAAGAAAAAGAATATTTTTTACCGTTGTTATACAAGTCAACCAATAGAAAAAAAAATTACAGTTAAGTGTTCGGATACTTTTTAGACTATTTCTAAAATGTAGAAAAAATTAAAAAAAAATAATTTTATGATAGAAAATCATATGCTCAATAAATTTTAAGTAGATCAGGTAATTCAATATGAACTTTGTGTCAAGGAGATCGACTGCTTAGACTGCAGAATACAACATACCCTACAAACTATTGTCAGCGCATGAATTACATCGATCATTATATTAATCGAGAGCAAATATATGATGTGCCTTTGAAAAAAAAATTGCATATACTGAAACATTATTGGAGCAAGTAGAGAGTAAGCAAAATTAAATTTAGTATATATAACTGTGATCACAAGACAAAATAGCGTAAAACGAAATCTTTATTATAATTAACCTTTTATAAACATGAAAACACGAATTTAATTAAAATAAATAAGATAGTTGCAATATTGGCTATTAGTAAGTAGCTACGCTTGAATGAATATAAAAATAAGAGAAAAACGTGTGTATGTAAAAATATTTATCAACCTTTTTTTCCCTCCTATGAATCATTTCAATCGATATTCAAGTTGTTTAACAAATGATTTGGATTTTTTTCAGCAAAAAGGAAACACAGAATTTCTATTCATTATTCATATACATTTTAGGAGATTTGTTAATATCGTCACAATGTATAAATAATAAATATATATTTTATAAACAAATGATGAGTAAGAAATTATGTGTAACATATTTTAATATCGTTGTGAATAAATATCTTTCAAACACGTTTTTACTAAATATATTAATGCTCAACAGTTTGTAACATTTGTTAACTTCAATTCATTTATGAAATGAGACATCATGCATCCATCATTCTTTTGTTCATGGTTTCTTAATCATATTCAAAAGAAAAGAGTACTTCAATTGATGAAAATAAAACAAAAAGAAATAGTCTATTTTTTTCTTGGTATAAAATTTTGTCTATTTTTGTTATAATTTATTACAAAGAATACGACGATCAAGTTAATCGAAAAGGATGAAGAAGAAGAAAACAAAAGGAGTCTAACGTTGTATTGTCACATCGATTTTTTTAAAACACATCTATTTCTTTTGTTTAGCAAACTATTTATTCACTTGTAAATAATATTTTCTTTACTCATTTTTTTTTCTTTTACTTTACTTTTCTCTGTTTACTTGATGTCTAATAATGTATGGCATGCAAAGATTCGTTTGTCTGATAAATATATAAAGACAAACAGTGTGTGCTTTGAGCTATATCGCATGTGACTCTTCAATATTTGACATATTGTGTGTTTCAGCTTTTTTTCTTCTGACATACCTTTTCTTAATATAATATATTTTGTAATATAAAACCTTGTCATTTGCCGTCGTCAACCATTGATCAATACTTTAGTCAAGATAGGTAAGAAAAGAATAGAAGTCAAGTAATTTCATATTGTTACTCTCCTCATTTATTAGGTAGCTTCTTTTCCTACCAATCATTTGAGTATGCGATATTGCTTTGATCCTTGTAATAATATTAGCTTTTTTCCCCCTATTTTTGTGTAATCCAACCTCCTCAAAAAAAGAATCATTCGTTAATATTGCCATTTGTTTAGTATATTTTCAATCAAAACTCAACAAAAGAAAAAAGATTGATATGTTAATAAACTAGTAAGATGAAATATACCCTGATCTTGGGAGTTAGTCATACTATGATTTGAATTCTTAAGATATAAATCGAAAAATTTATGTGTTGTATATCTACTTTTAATCATTCTCATTTAATTATGATAATACAGTAAATTGCTATTTACAAGATTTATGTCAATTATAAATAAACATATATATATCTTTATTAATCTTCATAGGTACAATAATCATTAATAAAATTTAAATGGCTCAATCAATTCGTACACGCGTTCTACGTATGCCGAAAAAAGAACAAGAAATTCATGTTATTACAAATTTATCTGATCACAATGATTCTATGACTGCTCCACTTATGCCTCCTTCCTCAAATTCTGTAAATTCATCAACAACATCCAGCGATACTCGTCCACGTCTTGTAGACGATGATTTTCAAGCACCACTTACAGCAAAATACCTTCGTCCTAATTCTCGTTGGTTCGTTGTACGCCATAAATTACATAATATACGCTCTATGGATCATGAGGAACATCGTGTTGTTCAAGGAACGTCAAGCCTTTATTTAGGTTTACAAATGAAACGTGAACTAAAACGTGTTCAAGAGGCAATAAAAAATATTGATAAAGAACAAAATTTTCATATTATTAAAAAGTTTTCTTTATCTGATGGTGGTAAAGAGAAAAGATATGATACAAGTCATGTTAAACCAAATGATGCACTTATATACGATCGTCTTGGTGATGAACCATTAGCATTACAAAATTTACTTTTCTATTTTGAGAAACAAGATATATTACCTGGTTCAGTTGATTGGACGTTTTTAAATGAAGTTCTTCACGTATTGAAAATAAAAAGAAAACGAACTGTTCTTGTCCAAAGATTAGGAAAAGTAGCATTAGCACTAGCTACAATTTTTTATATTATTATTGGTTTTATGTTTTTATTATTAATTATCAGCTTTATTTCAACAGCAACAAAAATGGATGATCCAGAAGTTAAATGGATGAAACCGACCGTTGGTGAAAGTTCAAGACGTGTATTTTCATTATAATGATCAATAAAATAAAACATATTGGCTTTTTAAATTTATTAAATTCAAAAATAATATCGTATTTAAGTTTTTTGTGTATCTTTTTTTCATATTTTATAAAAGCTCAATTTGTTAGTATTTATTTATGTTTTGCAATTTATTATTCTTCACTTCATTTTATATAAGACAATTAGTTCATAAATCATTAGAATCTCAATCATATTTTATATGAATTAATTTTGCATATTTATTCAAATTGTTTCAATCATCATTCTAGCAAAATTGAATATTATTTTAAACATAATACAATGATTTATAGATTGTAAGATTTTCAAATAATTGAAAATATATTTTCTAAAGAATCAAATTCAAGTGACTATCGATATTGTGTGTATTGATTGTGTTTGTTTTATGTTCGATTGCATGTTAATATTTGCATGAATATTGACGATTAAATATATGTTATAGAAAAATAAACTTGTATGACGTTTTTTCATTGTGAAGTTTGTTATTCAAAATTTTCTCCTTCACTTATTTTTAGAAACATAATTGGAATTTTTCATACTGTGAAGTAGAAGAAAAAAAAAATTTTAATATTTTAAAAAATTCTTTGAAATTTACAATATGCATTAAAATTGATTCACTTTCATTTGTATGACTAATTATTGTAACAAACACTTATTAGCAAAAAAGAAAAACATTGGTTTTGTTGAAAAGTGATTTTATCACTATAATCATTATGAAAACGAGACCAAAACACGCATAATAATTGTTTTTTTTACTTCGCTCGTCTTCAGAAGCTGCAAGGCTGTACGTTCTTCAGCGTCATTGTCGGCACGTGTCGAAGTAACATTATTTTTTATTTATTTAATGAAATAAACCCATGTCATCTTCTCTTATTAAGACGTCCCGTTATTGAGCAGAAAGATGACACTATTTATCGCAATATTAAATATTGTTCGTTGCGGTATGAAAATGGTCAAAAGCAAAAAGCGACGCTATGGTTGCCATACATATGTGTATCGAGTAAAACACTCTGTTCTTTCAGTATAGAACCATAAAGTTTCTTTTTATATGGTTGATTAGAAAATTCATTGATTCGTAGTTTGAATATGATATTACCGTTTGTTACGTGAAACATTTATTTTGACAGTATGCATGTAACTTCGAAATAAAATGAAGAATTTATCTAGTTTTCAACACGCAAGACGTTAGTCTTTTTCTCAATTATTCGATTTTTTTTGTATTTGTTCTTCATAAAGATCTGACAATTTGATCAATGATAGATCATTACGTTAATAACTATTGTCAGCGCCAGAATTAAGTGTGTATTGGTACAAGACGAATATCTCGAGAATGGCAATAGCTAGCAATCTGCGATTTTCAATAATCGAAAGAGGCTGAGTTAGGACATGCTTTGATGTAATAGTATGTAAGGTGAAATCATTACTTGGCCAATCTTTTTTGGGAATCTCTTCCAAAAATGTATAATAATGTAATGTAGTTCCAATGAAATTTTCATTCTGACATGTATAGTAGATAGAGGGACTTCAACTCTATCGTTCAAGATACAATGAGAATGGTTATTTTCCCATAGTCTCACGTCGAGCAAATGAATTTGACTATTTGCATGCCAAAATCATACGGAATTACGTGAATTTTTAACCGAATTTTCTTACTTTTTGTCAAATTCTTATCAGAACAACAAGCTATTTTGATAAAATGTTTAAAAAAACGTTTTTGAAAGTCAACGTAATTCCGTATGATTTTGATATGCAAATAGCCAAATTCATTTGCTCGGCGTGAGACTGTTGGAAGATAACCATTCTCATTGTATCTTGAACGATAGATTGTAACTCC